CTAAGAGGCACCAACACATGAAATCTACAAAGTTGATTAGGAGACAGTTTTTCAGCATGCCAACAGGTAGATTAAGCATTATAATATAATAAATTAAAAGTTTTCAAATATCTAACTGCTTGTATTATAACACTTGAAATACCGTACCGTATTCCTTATTCAATGAAAAATTTCTTGTTGACTAGGTGAAAGTGGGCCAGGTTTCAAGGACCCGAGTGAACTCGTCCAAGCACTTGTTGTTCAACTCTACATTGCCAAATATGTCCTTCATGGCCCATGCGTTTGACCTTATTGACTCACCTTCTTTCTCCACCATCACTCGCCTAGTCACCTCGGCTACCGAGTCACTCATAAACGACCCATCTCGCTCATCCCTTGGAATCTCCAACCCGACCCGCTTCTCGTGCATTAATCTCGCGATCAACCCTTGGTCCGCATTAGCACCTGAAAACAAAATCAAAGCCCGCCCGTACCCTAGCGCCTCGACAACTGAACTCCAACCACAATGAGTTAAGAAACCCCCGACCGAGATATGACCTAGAATCTTAAGTTGTGGGGCCCAACCTCTCAAGACCAAGCCTCGATCCTCTACTCGGGTTTCAAACCCGAGTGGAATTATATCGGAGCCCAACACGCCCTCTACTAACGGGCGATTGTTGACCACCCAAATAAAGGGCAACCCGGATTTCTCTATCCCATCTGCCAACTCGTGCATCAACTCTTGACTCAGAGTCACCTCGGTGCCGAGGGCGATGTAAACCACCGAGTTTGGTTTCTTATTTTCGAGCCACTCTCTCAACACTTCCCACTTCTCATCCCCTCGATCGTCAGCGACGCCGTGCTGTTGCGGCGCTGAGACCTGCGGCAGCAGCCCGAGTGGAACAACTGGTTTGCCGTAGATCTTCCTGAGCAGACTCACCGCGTCAGAATCGAACTCGGTGCAGCTCCGCATAGTCACAAAATTACAATCTTCAATCGTACGCCCGAGTCTCTGAAAATCGAGGACCTCGTCGTCCATGCCATCCCAGGGGCTCACCATCTCATGCAGCTTATAAGCAACGTTGGAAGGATAGTCGACCCACTCGGGGACGACCGTCAAGTCCTCCGGCCGCCAGCGTTTATCGCTGAGTAACTCGGACGGAGGACCGAAGAAAGCCAAGGTAGTGGCGTTGGTGATGTTGAAGTAGACCGAGTTGACTCCCAGCTGAGTGGCGACTCTGGGCATCCAATAGCAAATGAAGTCATGGACAACCCAGTTGACGCCCGAGTGTTGGATGAAATGCGTGACTGAAGGCTTGAGCAAGTCGTAGGCTTTTTTGAGGTAAGGGACTTTGTTGATTGGTAGCTCGGAGGTGGACTCGGCGGATTCCGGTAAGCCGTCAACGGCAGGGAGAGGAAGCTCGACGAAATCGATGAGCGGGGAAAAGGAGGAAGATCGGATACGATTGATGTTTTTGGGGGTGGAGATGAAGGAGATTTGATGACCCTTTTGAGCCAAGAACTTGGAGACCTCGAGAAATGGCATTAGGTGGCCGTAGGCTAGCCATGGGAACATGGCTATTTGAAGCTTCTTCTGATCTTTGCTGTCCATGTGTTCGACGATTGGGTGTGAGAGCAGAGATTCTCAGGCTTTTGATATCAGAAATTGTAATTAAAGGGTAGTACTGGTATGGAGAATTGATAAGCTACTGGTAAATCTGTAGGATATTTCAAGAATATAATTGTTTCAACCCGATTTTACACTATCGGCTCGAGTAATAGAGGTCGTTGGATGAACAAAATTTTAAACCGTTAAATGATAAAGTGGTTGAAATAATTTTCAATTATTATTGAGAAATAATGTTGTGATTTTAATCATGATATTATCTCGTAGTAATATATTAAATTATTTGAACCTAATATTTGTCTAAATCCAAGCTAATTTGACCACATGGAATATTGGGATATGCATGGCATCAATTGGATGAGTGTATGGTTAGATCATGGAGAATGCGGTGATATGACAAGCTTAGGATTTGATGGTAATGGAGTTATGATGAGATAAGCAGCCTAAACAGGCTAGACTTTTGATTATAATGTTGGAAAAGTCATGATATGGGATGAAAGTATGAGATGTTGATAATTAGAAATGAATTTAATATTCATTTAGATAAAGCTTAGAAACATAGGTTTTTTGAAAGGCTAGGTTTTTAATGCATCTTTATCGGGTTGGTGCTGTGAAGATGGACGGAGGAAAACAAGTGGTGAAGCCACGTCACCAAAGATCAAATGCAATCCTTTAAAGATCAAGTCATGTCAGATACATAGGAATTTGAAATATGACTCTACTCGAGGATCAGGCCGTGCCAAGCAAGTACATCAGTCCTATAAATACATATGCAATGGCAACGGAAGAAGGACCTCCAATTCAACACATAATTGCCCTGCGCAAAACCTTTCAAACATCTTGAGATTTTTTATTTTATTTTTTCCGCTGACACATCTTCAGTTTGGATTAGATGATAAATTAGCTACTAACGAGATTTGAATCCACGTCGTCATGTAAGGACTCAACACTTTTTCACTACTGGAGTAAAGAATCCCTTGCTTGTTCAATTACTTTCATTCGTGAGAGAATCGACTTGGAATGTCTTAGTCTAAACTTGTTATTGAGTACATTTGTTTGGACTCTTGCTTTTAGTCCCATTTTTTCAACAGAAAAAATAAGTTTTGGCCAAATTATTGGATTGCTTTATGGTGTGAGAGATTAATTAACATCTAAACAATTAAATTAATCAATCACGGTGCATGTGATTAATATTTGGAGGTTAGTTTAATGGTAAAAGGAAATATGAGACTAGTGTTTGGATGAGGGAAGATGAGTTAATATGATTAAGATATTCTCGAGTTGAATTCTATCTTCTGTTGTAACCAAAATACGAAGTAAAATATAGAGCGAAAATCATTTTCTATACCAAACTGTAAAGATCATTACAAGAAAGGATTTGGATCCTCTCCTGAGCTAATGGAGAGGATCCTCCTGACCCATCATCATGGACCGTTGGATTTTTATCCAACGGCTACAAACAAGAGGTCCCTTTAAAGTTATAATAATTGTAACCATTGAATAAAAATCCAACGATCCATGATAATGGGTCAGGATGATCCTCTCCATTAGCTCAGGAGAGGATCCAAATCCTACAAGAAAAGTCGAGAATTCTTCTATGATTATGACGCTGGACTTATCCAACATATCTCACAAGCCACTAAATTTTATTTAGCTTTAATATCAATTAGAGACATACATGATCTGGGTGCACAATTACTGATATTTTAGGTTTTCCTGTTTCGAATTGGATAATCTCTTACATTTTAGGATTCAAGTATCAAACTATGGTGTCAAACGATAGTGTGTGTGTATATGTATGTACGTATCATCTTATATGTTGTTGAGAGAGAGGTTTAAAGATGGTAGGTGACAGGTAGAGAGTGAGCACACAGAGCTTCCGACATGAATTCATCCAAGAAAAGAACCACGTGTATCCGATCTTTATGTATCCGATCGTAGATGTAGCCACGCATACATCTCGAACTAAATGAAACAAGCACCTTCTTTGTCCTCTTCTCTTTGTAGCTAGGGTTAATTAAGGAAGTTGATTTGTGAAAAACACAGGGTTAGGAGGGTTAATTTATATAGGATCAGAAGCATCGATCCGTCTTTGACTCCTTGGTAAAGATATGTTAAATTCTTCCCCTTGAATGCTGTTGGAAACCGGCAGGCAACCAATCACTTTGCGCTGAAATGCAAGAGATTCTGCTTACGTCTACTACTCACGTGTTTAATAGTTCATGCATGCATGCAACCAAGTTATATATATGCATATCGTTCACCTACTAGAATCAAAATTTGATGGTCTCGATATGGGTATAATTTCTCACTTTGGTCCGTAGCATTGAAAATGAATAGAATTGGTTCCTGAGTTTGTCCATCTTGAATCATTTTATTTCGTGAAAAATTTGTCAATATCCTCGTTAAGTGAAGAGGTTGGTTTGACAAAAATACCCTCAAAAAGTTGTCACGTGGTCGTTCACGTGACAATTTAACAAGAATATTGATAGCCTTTTCAGAAATGACCAAAATGATTTACAATAAACAAACTCACAGTTCACTTCTAACAATTTTCATTGTCATGGACCAAAGTGAAAAGTTATGTCAATATCATAGACCATTTTAGCTAAAAATCCTAAACTAATTTTCAGTTTAGTGTTATTTTTTACTAGCTCATCAGATATATCATCAAAGCGAAAATCAAGGTAAGAAAATATTTGAACTTTGTCAAAGGTAATTTCATATGTCATCATTAAAGCTAGCAAATAATTGTACACGACATGTTAATATGACTCAAATTCACTCTGCAAAAATTCAATATATATATAACTGTATGAGTAAGGTTTAGCCGGTCGTGTGAACAACGGTTTAATACCTATTGGCACCCCGTTAGTTAAATAAATTGTGTTATCTTAATTGTGTTAGAAAGATGTTTCAAATTCGATTAGTACTCCTCACCCAAGATAATACGTTTGGCACAAAAGTAGCATCCATAAAACGTAAATGCTTATTGTGTTATATATAAAACAAACTTAACCTGCACCAGCTGGAAGCCTGGAACCATGGAAATTGCTGGATTCGCATAAATCACTGCAAAAACATAGGCAGAGAGATCGACGCCATTCTTTTATATCATGCTTGAGTGCTCCTTTTAATTGTCACTACAAGAAAAATGGCCACTGTGCACAAAAATATATTTGTGCCCTATGAGACTTAAGGGCACTAACATACGTGTCCATAGACCAATAGCAACAATGCGGCTACTATGATATATCTGTGCCCTCTATGGGCGTCATCTTTGGTTAGAGGGCACCATATAGAGGTTTGTGCTCATGGACTTGGCACAAATAAGAGCATTTTTGTGCCTTGTTCTGACAAGATTGTCAAACGACTTTCCCATCCATGTTAGCACTAAGTTTGTAATTATGCTCCATCAATTAAATTTAAAAAAATATAAAAAATCGAAAAACCATACAAACTAAAAACAAACATTTTACATATTTTAGCCCTAATTAAGATAACACTCGAAAACAATCAGTTCTGGACAACAGCATCTTCCCCAGAAAGCTTTGTTCATCCCATCTTTGTTATTCCACAAATAAATTCATCATTCCCACAAGCAGAGTTCCATCAAACTTATGAATTTATGGGCGACAATAAAAAGAATTTCAAACAAAAATCATTAACTGAGGTGACGTTGAGCTTCCTGCAGGATCAAATACAAAAAAAAATAAATTAAAAATTAAAAATTAAACAAAACAAAGGAAAGGCCCAGACCTGAGAGAGGTGTCGGTATTGAACACAGCAGAAAAATGGAGAGAGAGAGAGAGAGAGAGAGAGAGAGAGAGAGAGAGAGAGAGAGTACCCATCTTCGTTTTTGACGCCGTGAGGGAAGAAAGGGATGAGAGAGTCCAAAGTATGGTTATAGAGCTTGTTCTCGTTGACGACACTGAAATGGCAGCTAGCAAAGACCTTATCAACTCGGTCCAGAATCGTTAAGATGACTAACCTATTTCAGAAAACCGACTCGGACTTCCATTGTGGGGCACACGAGCTCACAGAAACCCGCCTACAAAAATAAATTGTTAAAAAATTGCACAAATCAACGAAAAAATAAACAAAAAACCCAGATCTGATAGGGGTGAGAGGAGTCGGTGATGCGGTGGTTGTTGAGCGGATGCGGTGGTTGCGATCTGACTGCCAACGTCTAGCAATGGAGTATAAAGGAGGCAGAGTTGAGAGAGAGAGAGAGAGAGAGGTGAGAGAAGGAGATTCTGAGGGACGCAGAGATGAGAGAAGATCGGGAAATGGAGAGAGATAGACTGGATCTGCGGAAGGTAGAGATAGAAAGGGTGGTTGGACTGAATCTGGGAAAGCAGAGATGAACGAGAGATATAAGGAAAGTAAAAGAGAAGGAAAGATGAGAGACCGGAAAAGAGAAATGAGAGAGACGGAGAGAGAGAGAGGAGAGAGCAAAAGGGGGGGGGTGTATGGAGGGTTTTGAACAATAAAAATATATTAAAATAAGATTTTGTCTTCGGATTGTTGAAGTAAGAGAAGATACTTATGTGTATAAAATTAAATAATTTAAATATACTAAATCAAAGGGCACAAAAATTATTTATGTGTGTACGTAAATTAACATGAAATTATGATTACTGATATTTATAAACAGTGACACAAATTTTGGTGCAAACATTTTAATGGGCACAAATGCAGAACACCAACTAATGTGCCTTTCGTTTAGAGGGCACATTTGAGATAGTTTAGTGCTCACTGAAGTTCAAAAAGCACAACTATATATGCACTTGTGCACAATGAAAATGTAAAGGGCACGTATCTTTTGTGTTCTTAGCCCTTTTTTGTTGTAGTGTGTTAATTACCACTAGATTTAATGCTCTTATTTTTAATACAATGTCCCCGTATCTTCAAAATCTTAATGTTTGAATGGAGCCAAGTGTCTCTTTCAAGTCCAATATTCTGTTGGTTTGGTGCCGAATAATGATTGGCATTTACAAAATAGAACTTGTGCGATGTTAAAGACACCAGCTAGTCCTTTTTTTTTTCTTTTATATATATATATATATATAAATATAAAGATGCCAACTTATGCACCAATCTTTTATTTCTCTTATTCATGCCCACTTTATTCATACCGAAGCGAGCAGTGGCGGATCTTAAAAAACTTTATTTTGGGGGTGCCGGGGGATGGGGGCAGTGAGAATAGTACATGCAGCACAAGAAATTGTTTGGGTGGAATAGCATGCACATTGGTATTTCATTGAGTCTGGGTAGACTGAAGGTCTCATATGGCATACCTGTCGATAGATGCCAACATCTTTCGAACGAGCATGTTGATTGATGTCAATAGCTTTTGAACGAGCATGTTGACGCCAACATATGCTGAGTGAGCCTATCAAAGATGTCAATAGCAACGAATACAAAGAAATGAGCCTAGCAGCTACCTTGCCCAATGTAATTCGTTGAGCAGTTGGAAAACAACTTTCAAGCCTTCTCAGTTTTACAAAGAGCAACACCCAGCTTTTCTGTGAAGATTTTCTGAGTTTTGGAGGGTCAGCTAACCCATCTAGTCCCATGGTGAATTCTCCATTTGAAGCAATAGAGTTGTTTATACCCACTTTAAAACTTATTTGTTTACATCAAACAAGAAATTTCCACATTAGTTGAGAAATAAAAGTTGACATCTTTAATATTATAGATAGAGCTTGAGTAACTTCAAGACCTTATGAATGACATTAGGATGTGAAATTTTCTTATGAATGACGTTAGGCTGTGAAATATCAACTATTTTTGTGCAATTAATTAAGATGAAGATTTTCAAAATAAAATCAAAATAATTGTTGATATATTTATTAAATCTTGATACATTATCGATGAAATGTTGACGACTAAATAACATAATTCTTGACATTTTGAAATTTTTATAAACTATACATTATCGATCAAACGTTGCCCCACTCCCATTTTGCTAATAATTTTTTTTTCTTCAAATTACGAATTCAATTTTCCATTATTTTCTCAACAACCAAACAGTGAGTGGGGCAATAATCAAAGATTCAGTTACGGCGAAAATAGGAAATACGTACATGGAGTTGGTATTAAGTTGATTTTGGGGATGAAATGGACTAAGACGAAACGATCTGCTTTGTGAAAGCGATTCTCCGCAGCCCAATTCACGACGCATCGGCTTCTCGGGTTCCCGCCGCTGTTAACTGCCACCGCTACTGATGTCATTGTCACACACTAGAGCAACTGCCACCCACTCTATGAGATGCAGCTGCCTTTTTTCTCTTTGGGTCAACGCCGCCTTTGCTTCCCTCTTAAGATTAGCAAGTAATGGTACATGCGATGAAAGTGAGAGGAAGCTATATTTATTTGATATAATGATATGTTTTTTTCCCCAAAAATCTAATATGTAGTGATTTGTGGAGAATCTCAAAGTAATGACTATTTGTTAGTTCACAACTTAACGTTACACTCAACTAATATTTTAAAATATTATGCTAAAAACATAAAACGATAAAGAAGTCTCACATTTCATCACATTTCTTGTGATTTGCGTTACGTGTTATTCTATAAGTGGGCAACACACCTAATAGATTGGGCTTTCAAACAATATTTGAGAAACACTTAAAAAGCAATTTTATTCAGTAATGCTATTCTTACCACATTAATATACCACATTACTATACCATATTATGTGGCATCTGATGTGGTTGTCCACATCATCTAAATTAATCATAATTTAATTTAAATTAAAAACTATTTAATAAACTAATAATAAATAAAAAATCTGAAATTAAATAGTAATTGTGGTATACGATGAGTCTTCTCTCCTTTCTTCCTTTCCTGTTGCTTCTTCTCCCATTTCTTCTTTCTCGCCAATTTTTTGTTTCAGCCCAGATTTTTTTCAGCAGCCTCGCCATTGATGGAAGCAGGCGAAGTAATAGAGCTATACGATTCTTTTTGGTTTGAGATTCAGATCTTCAAGAAACAACCGGTTTCATCGAACCCATCAAATTTCGAAGAACACCTAGATCATGAAATTGAATAAAACCCAAAAAACCCATCAAAGCCAGAGTTTTTATGGATTCCAACCAGGCACACCAAGTCCATGAGCAACAAGTTGAGCTCCAATACGAGCACTCCTCCACCGCCATGGGCCCCTTCGACTCCATTCAGCATTGATAAATTTGCAAACTTTCGGGTGGCATGTTCATATCTTGCTAATATTTGTTTAAAGCTTTAAATTGGTTGCTGAATTGTGTGAGTTAGGACATTGAACTATGTGTGGCTGGATAGATTGCGATGAAGAAATGATTGGTACACAAGCTAACACATGGGGTTAAAATCTGGGCTGAAACAAAAAAATGGTGTGGAAGAAGAAATGGGAGAAGAAGCAACGGGGAAGGAAGGAAGGAGAGAAGACTCATCGTATGCCACAATTACCATTTAATTTCAGATTTTATTTATTTATTATTAGTTTGTTAAATAGTTTTTAAATTAAATTAAATTATGATTAATTTAGATGATGTTGACAGTCACATCAGATGCCATATAATGTGCTATACTAATGTGGTATATTAATATGGTAAGAATAACATTACTGAATTTTATTTAGTTTTTATTACAAGCAAACTTATACAAGGCCAATTCAATGACTTTGGTGTGGGTATATTAAAAGAATGAATGGTAAATTGCAGGTAGACTGAATAGTTTTTCGTGTATTATTGCCAAAGTAGAAGTACAATATATATACACAATCAAGTCAACTAAATATCTTTACGATGATGACTTGGTTGTGTATATATATTGTACTTCTACCTTGGCAATAATACACGAAAAACTATTCAGCCTACCTGCAATATACCATTCATTCTTTTAATGGGATTTCACAACAGCTACTTTTAGGAAAACATATTATACAAAATATTACACGATCTTTTCTTAATACGGTAGAAAAAAATAAAAAACAAACTAAAAAGTAAGCAACCAATCTAATTATCCCAACTAAGAGGCACCAACACATGAAATCTACAAAGTTGATTATGAGAGATTTTCAGTATGCTAGGAATAAAGTCTGGTGCATCAAATGTTATAATATAATTAGTTGAAAATTTTCAAGCATTCAACCATTTGTATTATAATACTTGATGTACCGAACCGTATTTCTTATTCAGTGAAAAATTTCTCGTTGACTAAGTGAAAGTTGGCCAGGTTTCAAGGACCCGAGTGAACTCATCCAAGCACATGTTGTTCAACTCTACGTTGCCAAAGATCTCCTTCATGGCCCATGCATTTGACCTTATTGACTCACCTTCTTTCTCCACCATCACTCGCCTAATCAACTCGGCCACCGAGTCACTCGTAAACGATCCGTCTCGCTCGTCCCTCGGTATCTCCAACCCGACCCGCTTATCGTGCATTAGTCTCGCGTTCAACGGTTGGTCTGAATAAGCACCTGAAAACAAAATCAGAACCCGCCCAAACCGTAGTGCCTCAACAACTGAACTCCAACCGCAATGAGTTAGGAAACCTCCGACTGATGCATGACCTAGAATCTTAAGTTGTGGGGCCCAACCCCTCCACACCAAGCCTCGATCCTTTACTCGAGTTTGAAACCCAAGCGGAACGATATCGGCCCCCAACACACCCTCCACCAACGGGCGATCGTTGACCACCCAAATAAAGGGCAACCCGGATTTCTCCATCCCATGTGCCAACTCGTGCATCAACTCTTGGCTAGGAGTCACCTCAGTGCCGAATGCGATGTAAACCACCGAGTTCGGTTTCTTATTTTCGAGCCACTCTCTCAACACTTCCCACTTCTCATCCCCTCGGTCGTCAGCGACGCCATGCTGATGGGGCGTTGAGTCGGGCGGCAGCAGCCCTACTGGAACAATGGGTTTGCCGTAGATCTTCCTTAGCAGACTCACCGCATCAGATTCAAACTCGGTGCAGCTCCGCATAGTCACAAAATTACAATCTTGAATCGCACCCGCGGCTCTCTGAAAATCAGAGACCTCGTTGTCCATGCAATCCCAGTGGCTCACCATCTCATGCAGCTTAAAAGCAACGTTGGAAGGATAGTCGACCCACTCGGGGACGACCGTAAAATCCTCCGGCCGCCGGAGTTTGTCGCTGAGTAACTCGGACGGAGGACCGAAGAAGGCCATGGTAGTGGCGTTAGTGACGCTGAAGAGGACCGAGTTGACTCCGAGCTGGTTGGCGACTCGGGGAAGCCAGTAGCAAATGAAGTCGTGGACGACCCAGTTGACGCCCGAATGTTGGATGAAATGCGTGACTGAAGGCTTGAGCAAGTCGTAGGCTTTTTTGAGGTAAGGTACTTTGTTGATTGGTAGCTCGGAGGTGGACTCGGCGGTTTCCGGTAAGCCGTCGACAGCGGGGAGAGGAAGCTCGACGAAATCGATGAGCGGGGAAAAGGAGGAGGATCGGTGGCGATTGATGTTTTTGGGGGTGGAGATGAAGGAGATTTGGTGACCCTTTTGAGCTAAGAACTTGGAGACCTCCAGAAATGACATTAGGTGGCCGTAGGCTAGCCATGGGAACATGGCTATGTGAAGTTTCTTCTGATCTTTGCTCTCCATGTGTTGGATGAATTGTGTATGAGAGGAGATACTCTCAGGCGTTTGATATCACAAGTTTTACTTAAAGGGCTGCAGGTAAGGTAGCTTTTGGCTAAATTATTGGATTGATTATAGTGTGAGAGATCAATTAACATCTAAACAATTAATTAATCATTCATGGCGCAATGTGATTAATATTTGGTGGTTAGTTTAATGGTAAAAGGAGGCATGAGATTAGTGTTAATATGATTAAACTAAGTATGAGATTAGCTTATATGGTTAGCAAAGACTACAATGTGTCTATAAGTCTTTCCAAATTCTAAAATGATGAACTGTCATGGCAAAACCATGAACTGATCCTCTTAAAAAAAAAAAAAAAAAAAAAGTACAAAACGAAAATTATTTCTAATGCCATCCAAAATACCTCACCAAACCCACTAAATTTTATTTAGTTTTTTAATATCAATTATTGACATACATGATTTGGGCTGCACAATTATTGACATACATGATTTGGGGTGCTTATTGGATAATCTCTTGCATTTTAGGATTTAAGAATCATATCTTGCTCTGACTAGTCAAACGATAGTGTGTGTATATATATGTAGGGGTGTGATATCCACACATTCATTTTTACTTCTTCCATATCTTTTTTGTTTTCAGCTGTCGGTTAGATGAATTGAAGAAGATCAACGAACAGAAATTAACAAAAGATGTGTGAGAAGTAAAAAGGAATGTGTAGATAGCACATCCCTATATCTATCATCTTATATGTATAGTTGAGGGAGAGTAGTGAGAGAGAGGGTTAAGGATGGTAGGTGACAGATAGAGAATGAACACACAGAGCTTCCGACATGGATTCATGCAAGAAAAGAACCACGTGTGCTCACTCTCTTCTGTCACCTTCTTTACAAACCTGTAATTCTGTATCGGAATTATATGTATCCGGTCGTACATGTAGCCACGCATACATGTTGAACTAAATGAAACACGTACCTTCTTCGTCCTCTTCTCTTTGTAGCTAGGGTGAATTAAGGAAGCTGATTTGTGCAAAACAAAGGGTTAAGAGGGTTAATTTATATAGGGGATCAGAAGCATCGACCCGTCCTTGACTCCTTGGTAAAGATATGTTAAATTTTCTTCCCCTTGAATGCTATTGGAAATCGGCAACCAATCACTTGCCCTGAAAAGCAAGAGATTCCAGGCCAACCAGTCGAACCTTCGGTTCTTGCTTACGTCTAACACGTAAGTGTTTATGCCAATCTCGGAGATCTTTTTGACTAAAAAGTTTAAACTAATTTTTTATTTTGTGGTATTGTTTAATACCTCGTCGAATATATCATCAATGCAAAAATTAAGGTACAAAAAGGTTAGAACTTACTCCAGAGTAATTTCATGTGCCCTCATTAAAACTAGCAAATAATTGTACATGACATGTTAATATGACTCAAATTCTGCAAAAACTCTATATATATGAGTTTTTAAATTCGCAAGTTTAACGGGTTGTGTGATTAACGGTTAAATTAACCAATAGCGACCCGTTAGTTAACAAATCATGTTAAAAAATGTTTCAAGTTCGATTAATACTCCTCACAAGGATAATACTTTTGGCACAAAAGTAGCATCCATAAAACTTGTATGCTTGTGTTATATAAAACAAACTTAACCTGCACCAGCTGAACCATGGAAATTGTAAGATTCGCATAAATCACTGCAAAAACATAGGTAGAGCGATCGACGTCATTCCTTTGTATCATGCTTGAGTGCTCCTTTTAATTGTTAATTACTACCATATTTGATGCTCTTATTTTTAATACAATGTCCCCATATCTTCAAAATCTTAATGTTTGAATGGAGACAAGTGTCTCTTTCAAGTCCAATATTCTGTTGGTTTGGTGTCTACTAATAATTGGCGATAAAGAATAGTACGCGCACAATTTTTTTTGAAAATCGGCATTTCATCGAGACTTGGTAAAATTGAAGTTATTTATCAAGTTATATTGCATGTCTGTCAACAGATGCCAATAGCTTTTGAACGAGCATCTTTCATGGCATTTTAGATTTACAAAAAGTAGAACCCAGCTCTTCCGTGAAAGTTTGTGAGCTTCGGGGGTCAGCTGACCCATCTGGTCCAAAGGTAAATTCGCCCCTGGAAGCGATATAGTTGTTTATGCCTACTTTAAAACTTATTTCGTTACATCAAACAAGAAATTTCCACATTAGTTGATAAATAAAAGTTGACATCTGTAGTATTATGGATAGAGCTTGAGTCAACTCCAAGATCTTATAGATGACATGAGATGTGAAATTTCAACTATTTTTATGCAATTAATTAAAATGAAGATTTTCAAAATCAAACCAAATAATTATTGATAAATTGATTAAATATTAATATCATTATCGACGAAATGTTGACGTCTAAATAACATAATTGTTGCCATTTCAAATTAAGAAAAACTAATGAAAATAATTTGAAAACTTTGAGTTTTAACGATAATGACAAAGTAAAGGATAAAGTGAATAGTACCAGGTTTGACTTTTTAGTATAAAATGTGATTTTTCGTTAAACTAAACAGTACCACGGACTTTTCGTTAAAACTCCCTTCAAATTATTATCAAGCTATATATTGAGATCCTGGATTTTCGGCTTGCCAAACAATCAACACAAAAATTGCTAATTACAAATTACAATAGTGAAATCGGATCCACACGAACCACCTTTATTTACCACATTGCTAATCACATCTCGATACATATTGAAACCCCTTTTAGGAACACTTTAGTAATCTAAACGGTAACAAAGGAACACACATTTGTACTATTTACACCAAAAAAAAACAGTGACCTTCAAAAGTAGGCAGTGACCTCATCTCTTAGGGTACTCTAAACTGTGTTATTATGCCGGAGGACGGGAATGTGAAATAGGTTCTAATCATAGTGGCTCCGGAAGGATCAGAAAGTAGGTGTCTGACGAGGTTCTTTCTCAAGTTATTTGGTGCTAAAACAAACATATACAACGCGAAAAGGATGAGATCAGCCGAGGACAATGTAGAGCCGAGGAAACCCTGCCACATCCTGCAACCGAAGCACAGACATCGATCAATCATTCAAGTTCGTCTAGTTTTTTTTTTTTTTTTCCAAAGAAACCTGTTCAAGTTTTCTTCGTGAAGCGGAGATATAGAAAATTGATCGTACCAGGTGGGTAAGCGGAAGAAAGTGTGAAAGAATATCCTGATGCCCTCGATGTCCTGTTGCAGAATAAGCGCTAGTCCGAAAAGAAAGAATGATCTTTGGCGTTTCCTTTCTTGCGGCCAGAGCGTATTCCATGCTGAAAGCGAAATAGTGTATTGACAGCGAATGATCTTAATAGCAGAAGACACTCGAAACATAGTACGCTAGCTAAGCAGTGATAACAAAGCGAGCATAAAAACATGATACAGAAAGTTGTTTAAAGAGAGAAACATGTAGATGCAGCTCACTTTCTTTAAAGAGCGAATGATCTTAACGAATAAGTGGAAATGTGGATTGAAGCTTTCAAATATCATGACAGGGAATGAGCCGAAAATGTATATGAGGCTCACAACACATAGTTCTTGTAAGTACTATAAAACTATTCCAAACATGCCAAACCAACGCTTACCTAGCATCGAGATGTTCTCATTACTTATTTGGCTGCGGTGAATGGCCTTATTATGATCTGGCTTCAAAATAATTGCAATCACAGAAGCGTATTTTGGAGCCTCCGACAAAGACCTTGCGACTGAATATCCTGTTTGATGGTAAAACGTAAGCATCAGTAGACTGAACAATTGCGAACTGATCTGGTGAATTTATTTGGTTTAATCGTTACCTGTGGCAGGATGTACCATGCAAGCAGCAGCACCAAATGCTAGGTTCTTTTGCTCTGTATTTGGTAAGGAGCCACCAACCGGAATCCAAGACCATTCCTGTATAAATTACTGAAAGATTATGCCTTGAATTATGAAAGTAAGCAAGACCAAACTCCTGATCAGCTTGATGAGAATGGAGATTAGAAAACTGCGTCAACTTTCAAGATAAATGTGATTGTTGTGCCACTACATGGCAAGGCATGAAGCCTTGTTCGGACATATTTCGAGAACAAAATCATCGTTCATCTCAGAAGTTGTAAGCAATGTAGTCTGTCATAAAACTTACCTCTTCATAAGTTTTTGTAATACGGATTCCCATTGTCTGTAACCGTGACAAGAGCTTTTTCTTCAATAAATCAAAAGGCATGGCTTCTTTAGAAGCCAAGCAAGTTTCCTGCAAATCCATTACTCTAAATACTTTGTACACGAATAAGTAATGCAATTAACAAAGTAATGTCCATCGAGCTAACCTCAAAGAACAATCTAGTCGGAGACATGGGCATGACATAAAGAAACGTTGGATATTCTGCTTCTAAAGACCGAACTTCTTGTTTCTTGTAGTCTCTATAATCCATGAAAACCATCACTTCGGGATCATATGGGTTATTTTCCACCTGAAATTGTAAGAAAGAGTAGACATAGTAAAAAGTCATCAATCGCCCCGAAGGGAAGTTAAGGAACTAGTCATCCCCAAGTACAGCAAAACTTAGAAACATAACTCCTACCTCAACCTCGATACCATATGCTGTTTGGACAGGACACCTTTGGACCACCCACCTCGTACTGCAAAAGCTTCCCCGAAGCAGCTCCTGATGCAACAGTAGCAAGCCTATAATACTAGTTAGATGTTTGAAACAAGGTATGGAAGAAGTAGAACCATCACCAAAAATTTGAACTGAATAAATGCCATTCCATCGTACCTGCACGAAACAACAATATTGTGGCCACAGGATACAAGACTAATCCCATTGCTAGCTTCAACAATACTTTCCACCCTTGAATCGAGGTACGAAACACCTGACTCCACACACCTAATAAAAATTAATACAAATTATGCATCTTCAAAGAATTACAATGCCTGCAAGCGTCAAACAAGTAGATACGTAGTAGAATAGGGTTGTATTTACTTTCTCAAGAGCTCCTCATGTAGCATGTCTCGACAAACACGACCATAAGCACGATCGATCATAATGGGGTCCGAATCATCGTCAAGATACACAATTGTGTTCTGCCAAACATGCTCAATACACCCTTCAAGTCCAAGATCTGGAAATGTAAAAATCAAAGCGAATATCGAATGTGAGCAGAGTTTTGAGTCCTTTGAATTGGGTAGTTCACAAATAATGCCGCTAACCAGATCTGATTGTCAAGTTTAATACCTTTGAATTCATCCTCCCAAACACCATAGTTGTTTGTGAAAGGGAGATCTGGGCCAATAAGCCCAACTTTTAATCCCAACTTGGCTGATTCTGCAGCCAGAGCAAGTCCTGCCGGACCACAACCAATCACCACCAAATCCAGAACACTATCTGCTACTGGTATTGGCGGTAGCTGAAAATTAATCCATAAGCAGCATCACAAAATTGGGCTTGGGGTTTCCGGATTTAAAGTTTCCAACATTCATGCTTCAATACAAACGGAAAATATGCGGAAACTGAACCAGTTATAAACTTTTAATCAAAAATAAAACTGCAAAGGCACTGAATTGACTTTTGCTTGCAAGTGCTTACGCTAACAAGTGTTTTTATTATAAACATATAGAATTTTTATTAAAAATTTAAGTGTTTTACTTGGAAGTGCTTCGTGTAGACAACTCATAAGTGCTTTTACATTTTTCTACCAAACATAGTCAAAAGAATACTTTTGTCCGAAGTAATCCCACAATAATCTATGTGCCATATAAACTACGATGTAGTGTCATTTAAAATTCGCCGAGTTTATTCGCGCATATTTTCCAAAATATGAATACAAATAAAAACCATGGAAGAAGAGAGACAGTGTGTGTGTTAAAAACCTTGTCAGCGAGCTTGGACTGCTTCTCCATGACCTTTTTCTGCTGCATTTGAACTAAGAGCAGTTCCGGCCCGCCGCCCTTCATGAAATCCTCCTCGTCCGCAAAACCTTCCTTCACCACCACGCCGACACCGCCCCCTTCGCCTCCTGCACTCGCTCTCACTCGCAGCAGAGAAACCTTGTTGCACAAACCATACCGGAAAAAAGGACCTTCCTTTCCACCCACCAGTCCTCCTCTTCTCCTCACCCTCCAGGTCGGGTAAAACGACGCCGTCATTGCTGCAACGCAGTCCATACCGGCTTATATCTCCAACGCGCCTCAGAACTTTCAGGACTCACAGCCTGGCATTTATAGTGGTTTTTTCCGAAAAAGTTGGAGTCTTTGGGGGACAGAGCAAAAGGGTATTTCGAGAACGTGGATTTGGTGAGTTGAAGTGCCGGAAAAGCCACCGGAGACAGAGAGTTTCTGAGAGAGCTGCTGTCACTGCTTAAACACTGACCGCTTGGAGATAGGGAATGGAAGTTAATGGTTGGCGTTTTATTTGCTCGTTGCAAAGAAAGTCATCCGAATTTGCCACGTGGAGAAACATCATTGGCTGGAACTTCAACTAGGCGCGCCTTATCATTACGGATTGTGTTCCCTTCTCAGCTGCCGTTTTGGGAACTTGGAATGTGTCTGAATTTGCGTGGGTGAGCGTGGGAGTTACGTTGCTCATGTAAGATGAATGATTTCCCCAATCCCCCTACCTACCAACCAATTGATATGTTATGCATTGAAGACGGAAAAGTCTCGCATAAAATGTTGAAAATTTTGTCTGTCCATCGTTTAAAAGATTTTCGAGTTAAAATATCTCATGTTTATATTATATCAAATCACGCTATACAGTAACAAGTTTATAATCTTAACATCAAGGATGTTTAATGTAGAAGTTTTAAGAAAATTTCAGACGAAATGACATTGACCATTGAGAGGGGGTGTTTGAATATGACAGCTCGAGTGGCAGCACAAGAAGAAGTGGTGGTGGAGCAGAGAGTTAGCGGGGTTTTAGGGTTAGGATTAGGGTTGAAGGGTTATAATTTGGAGTTTGAATTTCAGAATTTTGATTTGGGACGGTAGCAGGTGTAGGGTTTGTTTAGCAGAAAAGAAGAATTTTTTTAAAAGGAAGTGTTATTTGCATTCCAAAAATCTTATTTTACACCCTTCACAAGTGTATTTTTCTTTCCTAATATAGAAAGTTTGGAGTGTAGAATGAGATTTTTTGAGTGCTAATAACAATTTCCTTTTTAAATTGCCAAACTCAAGATGTCTCGTTTCGGCCATGTCATTTAAAAAAAATAAAAATTGATCTTCTTCTCCAATGAACAAAGGAGGCACTGCGGCAGCCGAAAAACCCAAATCTGTGGCAGGCTTCCCATAGGTCCTTCACATGCGTTCCGTTTGGACTCCAAAGAGTCCCGAGTCCATATATAGAACTGCCCCTGATGCTATTTATGTGACAGACCAAATGTTTCAACACAACTCAATTGTCGCTCAACAAGAATCATATAGATATTAGATACAAACAGACATCGCACGTGTAAGGATATGTTGAGAATACCGTACATTAGAGATAGAAGTATTGCATATGGTGCTCAAAATATTTTTGCATTTGTCCGCCCATTGTTAATTAGTGCTAGATTCTCACGTTCTAATTAGTATTAGATGTTTCGTGAGAATGAAGATGACAAGGGTTCAAAGGATTGAATTGAGAACGGAAATTCAAACTTGAAACATCTTCTCACGTTAACATATTTACTTCCACTTTTAAAAATGAGAGTGATATGAAATAAATATGATACTCATACCTTATATTCTTATCCTTTACAACTAAACATACCATAAAAAGATAAATACTGGCAAGCATTTTCCCATTGAAACTTCCCTTTTCTCATTATTTCATGTGGCAAGCATCTTTACTCAAAACAATATATTTAATACATTTTAAAAAATAACTTTCGTTTTGTAATTTTTTTTTTTTAAAATTTACATGCAAGAGGCTTGATTCTTTTTTGTTATTATAAATAAATGAACAAATTAGTTAAAAGTGTCCGATTGCGTCTCGCACATTTCATAAATATGTAAAACTTTTTTTTATTCTCCTCCCATTCGACCCCACGCTTTTCTCATACGATGTAAGAGCTGTCCTGCAAATCAGGTTTACCGAAGTTTTTATGGAACCGGGCCTATGGGTTGTGTACAGAGTCCAGATCAAAACGGCGCCGTTTTAAGTGCGGTCTATGATTCAATATGTAGTTGAAGAAGTGGTACGAAAGCCAACCCTCGTTTTTGAGAACGAAAACGTGAAAGCTTCTTCGCGGCAGTCACAGGCTCTGTACTGCTGATACCTGATACCTGATACCTGATACAGAGAGAGGGAGGGAGGAGATGGGAAATCCGAAGCAAAAATGGACGTGGAGGAAGAAGAAGCTCTGAGAGCGGGGGTTAGGAAACACGGCACTGGCAAGTGGAAGGACATCCAGAAGGACCCCGAGTTCAACCCCTTTCTCTCTTCTCGCTCCAATATTGATCTCAAGGTCTCTCTCTCTCGATATCTATATATAATATATCGCTATGAATATGGAAATTCCAGAACTTGAATTTGCTGCATATTGTGGTGGTTGTTTTCGAATGTTTTGTGCTGTTGAAATAATGGGTTTGCTTGTTTTTATTTTTATTTTTTTTTGGATCAAATGAAATATTACTGAATGAAAATTGCCTGGTCCTGTGATGTGACTAAAATTAATTACAATGATGATGCATGGCAGCATGGCCGAGTCTGAATTTGTGGAGTTTTGGATTAAAGTGGTGAACCTGTTAGAGCTACGAATAGCTAATTGTTTCTGGCATAGTGATTGTTGATTCAGGACTTTGATTCGAAATTCGCTCACTTATCGGAAAGTTGGAAGCCGCTCTTTGAGTTACTTGATTTTCCATTTTTCCTCATCAGTTGGCTAAATGTTATTTAGGCATGAAATGAATTTTGAGAACGGTGTGTCAAAATCGTAGGAAGGTGTAATTTTATGTTGAAAGCGTTTCAGATTCGCCAATTTGCCTGCCTGTTGCGGAATTCTATTTGAATGAACTAATATTGCTTTATATCATAACAATTGGTAGACTGTATCTAATGTGGTATGAAACATTTTCTAGATGATTACTATGTCTATGGTTTGTGTTCAAATTGATTTTTGCTTGTATAGGACAAATGGAGGAATATGACTGTTAGTAGCACGGGGCCTCGGGAAAAATCAAGGCCCAAAGCAAGAACAAACCCAGATGTTGCTGTTGCTTCAGTATCTGTTCCCCAGACTTCTTCTGCTGCTCCAGTCAGACGCGATTCACCAGCAGCAGCAGCAGCAGCAGCAACCCCAGCTAGACGTGATTCACCAGCAGCAGCTCCAGTCAGACGTGATTCACCAGCTGCAGCCCCAGTTGGACGTGATTCACCAGCAGAAGCTCCAGTCAGGCGTGATGCACCAGCGGCAACTCCATTCAAACGCGAGGCATCAACAGAAACTCCAGTCAGACGCGATACAACTCCAGTTGCAGATGATTCCTCGACTGGCTTATCTGATGCAATACCTGCTCCAGTGTATGAATCTGTTTTGCTCCTTGCCTTTGTCTTTTATCAATTCAATAGAAATCATATGTGGCTAGTACATGGGGTTTTCGCAGAATGTATTTGCAGTTATACATACTGCGAAAAACCCATATGAGGAATTATGAGTGGAAAAAACTATTAGAATGTGGAATGACATAACTCTTTAGGCTCTTATTGATTGGCACAATTATGGGGCGGGGGCAGCTGACTAATCAGTTAGGGTAAAGGAGAGGAGTTGATAGGTGATGGTGCCAAGGTTTCTTCGATTAATAACTAGATGTCAGGTGATCATCTTTTTAAACATTATAGTTGTACTAAGTTGATAAGGTTTCTGACCTCTTAGCTTTGTACACTTTCCTCTTGCATGCAATAAGAATGCATGGTTTCATGGCATAGTTTCTTAGACAACCCCAATAAGGCAATGAAGAAATACCCCAACTAATAGAAGGTGCAATTCTGGAGCATACGGAACTCTATTATCATAATCTGTACTATAGTACTGTTTTCTGTGACAATTCTTACACTGATGCAATAATTAGCCTAGTGGGCAGATCTTGCTTCAATCTTTTCCCGGAACCATATCACATGATGCTTTACTTTCGTCTCAGCCATAAATCCTATGCTTTATTACTTTTGATCCTCTCATGTCAAACATAGCATCTTTTGGTTACAATTAAGAACACAATATATTGAATGGTTTATTTGTACATTGTGTTTTATATGTCTACAGTTGTTATCCATTTCATATTATCTATTCTGTACCTCCAATAGCCAGACTGCTTTTATTATTGTTATTATTTTTGTATGAGTTATTTTATTTTTTGAATTTCATTTTGGTCAATCATTTTCTTCTATTATTAGGTGCAATGCAATGATTTTTGAAGCACTTTCTGCCTCGACAGATCCAAATGGATTGGACGCTACTGCTATTGCTAGCTTTATCGAGGTATGTCTCAAATTTATGCTCTCTTCTTTTATTTCTTGGAAATGAAATTAAAAGAATCGTTGAGACTTTGTTAATTGATTCACTGCGGAGGAAGCTGTATATTAGCATGTTGAAGGGACTAATATTGTCAATAATGATAATAGTTGTATAAACTCTTGAAGGGAAGTAATATTGTCACGAAGGATAATAGTTTGCTCCTATATAACCTCTTATAGATTTATGTTTCAATTAATTGTGGTACACCACGTGTTCCTATGCTAGATCTTCGAAAAACATCAACTTTGTTTTACTTCTTGAAAATATAGCATTTTGTAGAATAGCAATGGACCTTTTCTGTCTCATATTAGTTACTTGATGGATAATCATGAGCATTTCAATACCCGTCAAGCTCATTATATTTGGGTTACCTTCAGAAATATCTCTTATACTTCTTTTGCTGGTGAGAACGAGATTGTCTGAAAGAATTTACGAAGAAAAGCTTCCAATTCATAGTTGATGTCTCTGATGAAGTTACGCTAATTGTGATTTTCACGTTTTATAACCACTCAATTCTCATGATAAAATGACTCCTGCAGCAAAGGAAGGAGGTCCCCCAAAATTTTAGAAAGTCATTAACCGGTAGGTTGAGAAGGCTGGTTCAGCAAGACAAACTTGAAAAGGTGATTGCTTGAATGTGATGCTTATTAGCTGATATTTCTAACCCAGGTTTAATCTGCCTCTATCGATGTTTGTTTCCCAAGCTTTGTCTTGTATGCACTTTTTGCCAGATTACTTTGCATGCCGAAATCGATATTGAATATTAGCTTATATAAATTACTATGTCATTCCAATGCAGATTCAACACTGCTACAAGGTGAAAACCGATCCCTTGAGTGTGATGAAAGCACCTGCTCCAATGCAAAATGACATCCAACCAAAGCAATCGCAGAGTCCAGTATATGTGACCGTTGGTAGTGATACATTAGAGGAATCGGCACGAGCTGCTGCACAGAGCATTGCCGAAGCAGAATACAAATCATATCTGGCAGCAGAACAAATGAAAGAGGCAGAGAGGATATCTTTCATGGTTGAAGACACAGAATCAATGCTGCAGTTCGCCAACGAGATTTTGGAGCAATGTAATATCCAAAACTCCGACTTGTTTACACCTATTGCATAGATTTTCCACTTCCTTTTGACTATATGTTGACGATTTCCGAATTGGACAGGTTCAGAAGGTGAAGTCGTGATGATGGGGTGAGATACGAATCCTATGATTACCGTTTGTAAAGTTTCTTCGCTATACTTCCTTTCGCTAGTGGGGTGCAACCGAAGCGAAAATATCTTTTGCTCATTTTGCTAATAATAGTAGTTATACAGCCTCTTCAGACTGGATCTGTTGGGGATATGGAGAATTGTTCTTGAATTATCTATCAGAGATCACACGCTCTTGTATTTTTTGTGGTACGGAAATATCATTGGTTTTAAGTGATGTAATTTGATGATTCCACCTAATTAAGCTATAGCTTTACTACAGTCATTAAACACTTGTTTTGTGGATTTGTTTTTTGTCGGACGCCACTATAGCACTACGGTCTAGTCCTCCTCACCTGTAAGCGGAAGGTCTTGTGTTCAACTTACATGAATGACGAGCCTTCTCGAGTAGAATGTTAGGAATTTGTTATCATTCGTGCCTCGGGATGACTTTTTGAGAGTGACGAGTGTTTTACTCATGCACCCGAGAACCTAGGCTCGATTTCCTCTCCTCGCCATCAACGTGCCATCATGCCGAGGGGGAGGATGAATGAAATGCAAAAACATGTTCAAGATATAAACTCAATCTTTGTTCCAAAATAACCATTTCAACTACAAACACCAAACAGTGTTTACTGTATAAGCATTTGCTTACAGGTAAGATAACCATAACATTTAGGTCTCTAAACTGCATTGCAAAATCTCATATTCTTTGATGATAGTCCGAAGGAGCAAAGGCAAATGAAAGACAACAGCTAGCCACGAGAAAAGGACCGAAAAAAAGAAACAGGAATGGTTTGTCAAGTTCAAAGTGCAAAAACCAAGACCGGAAAAATTACAAGAGTACAAGTCCAAGCTCCGAGGGTTTCAACGCGTTCCTCATCCGGTAGTTGTAGAGATAGTAGTGAAGTTGCCCATCGCCAGGTCCAAATTTCAGCTCCTTCAAAAACGACTCATTCTGCATGACGTCAAGTGCATTGAAAACATCGAAATCCTTCTTTTTTGCAACAATGAGTGCATCGTTCATCAGCTGAAGCAATGGAGTCTTAGTGGTGACGTTATAATAGGAGTATGCAGCCTTCAAGATTGAGTATGTCTGATTGCCGAGGATAGACGAAGGAAGAGTGTAGAAGCTGCAGAAGTCAGTGATGTCATGAGTCTCTGGGCTCTCAACCAAGTAACTGTCCACCACATTCTCCTCTGGTAGAAGCCAATGCTCGACATCATTTTCATCGAAATCTGGTGCAACCACAAACTGGCTCAAGTAGTTCCTAAGCAAACGAGTAACAGCAGGGACATCACGAAGTTCCATTTTTCTGAACCCAGGAGTGGCGGGTGAATCTGGTAGCTTATAAAGTTTTATGGTTCGGCTCATAGTCATCCTAGCACCAAGCCTTGAAAACCCAACATCAATAAGCTTCTTTGGGTTCAAAGACCTATGCCAGTACTGGCAAGTTGTTATCGGAGTTGGAAGAACCACTCCAGCAGTGTAAGCTGCTTGCCATATGTTCTCCAAATGAACCCTCCTTGTCACCTCCTTGATCATAACCGGTGCAAGTCTTTTCGACCTCAGCTTCTTATGCACACATAAGAAATTAATCTCAGCCATTTTCACAATCGCATCACGGACCCGGATTCTAGCAGGAACACCAGTAATGAAGGCAACCAGCTTCTTATTAGTCCTTGCACGAACCCCGATATGCCAGCTCTTATAGTAACCAGGTGGGTGCAAAGCCCATCTAAGAAACTCTTTCGAGTAGTTGAACCTAAACATGTTCTCATCATCCTCGACATAATTGTTCTTCAGCAGATTGTAGACCTCAGTGCAGGTATCTTCCGAGTCCAGATCACACGTGGTCCATTCATATGGAGTTGGCAGATTGTACGGCTCTTGTTTGACCTCAGACAGAGGGGTAGGGGCCTCAATCGGGCCCTCAGGCAAACTCACATCCCCAAGATCCTTAAACTGCCCAACAGGTTGAGTCTCCCAAAATGTGTGCCTTTTTCCAACCGACATCGAATCTTGGAACTTTCGGACTATGGTTTCCAATGAGCTATCATCCTTAACAGCTTGGTTTGCATCAGAATCATGATCTGCCTCCTTAGGAGACCCAGGTGGGGAATTGTTATCACTCATTGCAACTACTTAATCGAATCGATTCCTAATCGAAAGTCTTTGCTATCTGAATTTAAAAAACAACAGATTCAAATCAAGAACAAGCAAAACAAACACAACCCATTAAATAATCCGGGAAAATTCACCATACCAACATTTCAACAATAGCAAATTTAACAGAAAACTCCCCAAGATTTATCTTTACTAATCCAATTCCTACGTTAAAACGGACCCAAACTGTAAAAATCCACACAAACAAGTATTGATTATCTCAGAGCACAATTCAGCAGTAAGCTAACAGATCTGTGAAATTTAACGCGACGAGCAAGAAACACACTCACGGTTTCAGTGGACGGAGCGCGGGATGCCGTTAGATTGCTGCGATTAGGGCTGAACAGATCTTGATTTCGATTAGGGTTCGTCGAAAAGGAATGAGAATCGCTAGGGTTTTTGGTGGAAGGTAGCGGCTTTCAAGGTGCCGCTGGGGTTGGGAGAATACGAGGAGTGCGTGTGTTGTTGTACGGTTAACGCAACATATTAAACCAACGAGGGACTGCAGCATTTTATGATTTTCATCGACTGCATTTTACTTTTGCTAATCAACTTTTTTTTGTCACTGATCGTTTTTTCTTTGTTACCATCGACGGTTATATGATTTTGGATATATATAAATTTTGATAGAGATAATCTTTAAGAAAAAAATTTAAAATAAAGACGGTTTGATTAATAAAATACATAATAGAGTAGGCTTAACAAAAATGTATTAAAAAATGTGTGTCATCTGATCGTTACACCTGATTGTATTCTCATCACAAACCTAATTTTGGTTTATATTGCAATTACACTGTCAACGTGAATGAATATGTAATATAACTTAAAGACATGACAATCATGCTGAAAAGTTATTCCAATTATTTCGAGTTAATATGAGATAAAAATTATATTAAAATGTATTTGAAATTTTGATTCTAATTGCTAAATCACGTGAGAAGAAAGAGGGAGAAATGCAAGTTGCAAGTTGGATAACGAAGTTTGATTGAGGGAGCAACAAAACATGTTACCAAACCTCGGCCTCGATCTCATGTGGGCCACTACAGAACCAAATATTGGGCCCCGGGCCCATAGCACACACGAAGAAAAGCCCTTGGGTTTTTCATATCCGGCCCGGTTATGATTTGCGCCAAACCGGTTAGTCCGTGTTTGATTTCCGCTCCACCGAAAGCCATAGCCGAACACTGTGAAGAAAGCTCAGAGATTTTCACCAAGCTCAGCTGAACTTCCCGCCTTCCGCAACCAAATCAACCACCATGTGCGGCGACGCAACGAACTGGGACGAAGAAGCATACAGAGAATCCATATTGAAGGAGCGAGAGATCCAAACCCGAACAGTTTTCCGAACCGTTTGGGCTCCGTCGCTTAACCCTAACCCGGACACCGTCGTCGTCGCCTCCAGCGACGGATCGGTTTCCTCCTACTCCATCCCCTCCCTTATCTCCAAGCTCGTAGGTTCCTTATTCTTCAACCTCTTATGATTTTGTTTTTAAATTTTAATTAATTTTCGTAATTTTTTAATTTTTAATTTTGGTTGCAGCCACTGGGTTTCAGCAATGTGAAATCGCCAAAGTAATTATTTCCAGGCCTTTACATTGTTTGTGATTCTACGACGTTGTATTGACTGTTGATAGCAGCTGATTTTTGGTTGGTTTACTTGTGAATTTGAGTAGTGTTTGTAGGTCGCTAATGGCGGAACCTACTTGCTTCCTTCAAGCTCATGAAGGACCTGCTTATGATGTTAAGTTTTACGGAAATGGCGAAGATTCTGTTTTGTTGAGGTTCGATTATATGTTCATGCTAGATTTATTGACTAGAAAGAACTATTTTTTTAGTAATTTTTTAGTTTCACCATGTTTACACCATTTGGTTTTCTCGGATTTTTTACATGTAGTTGCGGTGATGATGGACGGATTCAAGGATGGAGGTGGAAGGATTGGGAAGAATCAGATGTGCCTATTCATTTGCAAGGTGATTTCGGTTTTTGACAGCTTAAAATACTGTTGTTTTGGCGAGTGGAAATTGAATGTGATTCTAACTCTTTGGATTTACATTTCTTGCTGTTTATGTAGGAAAGCATGTGAAGCCCATAATTGACCTTGTGAATCCCCAACATAAGTAAGTCACCAAAAAGAAAAACCGCCGGAGGGCAATTTTTTTCCTTTCCCCTGAATGTCTTAATATTGATTTGAACATCGGTTATGATAAGTCCCCAGCATTACTTCCTTTGACATTTCTTGTAAATTACTGTTGTCCTTTTAGAGGTCCATGGGGGGCTTTATCTCCAATCCCAGAAAACAATGCTCTAGCTGTTTATAACGAGGTATGCAGGTTTTTCTAGTCCTATGCATCTTTATATTTTATTTTCTATTTTGATTATTTAATGAGCTTAGAAAGTAGTATGTTTTCAAACGAATGTGTTTAACATCTCTTTGACAACGATAGGGGGGATGCATTTTTTCTGCTGCTGGTGATTCTTGCGTCTATTGCTGGGATGTGGTATGTATTTTTTCAAGGTGAATCTTTCAATCATGTTATGAAGTGTCTGTTGAGAAACATTTTTACATATTACATTGTTCTCGATATAATTTTCTAGCCGCACTGATAGCATGATTTGTATCTGAAATTTTTCAGGAAAGAGGTCAAGTCAAAATGACTTTTAAGGGGCATTCAGACTACTTGCATTCTGTAGTTGCTCGGAACTCTACCAATCAGGTTAGGTCATATTCTTCTTTATCTTCAGGTTAATCATTCCTGGCACTTCTCTTTGTTCTGAGTTATGTTAAATGTTATGGAAACAACCACCCCTTTTAGTTCATTTAGAGTGACGAGTATCAGAATTACAATTACATTAGTAGCACTGTGCACTGAGGTACTAGACAAATGTTATGTTAAATGTGATCTTTTGATCTTTTCCGATATTCAGATCATAACTGGTTCAGAGGATGGGACAGCACGGATATGGGGTAAAAACCTAGCATTTTTCAATTTTGAAGGATTGTGGCAGAAAGTTGTTAAGAATTTACAGTTAGTATGTTTTTGTATAAAATCACATGGACTTGTTCTTAGAAGCATGTGTTTATGGTTTCACCCAGATTGCAAAAGTGGAAAGTGCGTTCAAGTATATGAGCCAGCCAAGGGTATTAAGTTGAAAGGATTTTTTTCGTGTGTCAGTTGCATTGCTCTTGATGCAAGTGAAAGCTGGTTGGTAAGCAATTATGTGATGAGAATGTAGTTGCTTTAGTGTTCTAAACTAATTCTCTGTTGAAGTTGCTTGCTGCTATAACGTACTAATTTTTTTTTTTTTCTTCCGTAGGCTTGCGGTAGTGGTCAGAGTTTATCAGTTTGGAACCTTCCTGCTTCTGAATGCATTTCAAGGGTTTCAACATGTGCATCCGTACAGGATGTAGTATTTGATGAAAACCAAGTGAGCTTCCACCACAGCCCTCTATTAGTTAATTTTCTAATAGTGCGATATCCCGTATTTAAGTTCCAAGAGAAAGGGTGTGAGCAGTAACTCTGGTTGTTTTCATTTCATAAGGATATTAAACCAAATTTCTTAACAGGATAAGTTGAATTGGTAAGATATCAGCGAATGAGCAATGATTTCTCTTTAGACTATTAGATGATAATACAGTTATACTGTCACTAAATCTTCAATGCCAACGGATGAGGCGGGAATTAAATTGTTTAAATACTTATAGATACGAGGAGCAATAAGTATAAGATAACACTATGCCCAGTTTGCCTGTTATAACTTCTAAAGAAATGCCTAGTTTGTAGTTAGGAGGTACAAAGGAAAACCAATATCCCAAAGCTCACTGTTACCTCTCCTTTCCAGGTATTAGCAGTTGGAGCAGAACCTCTGCTTTCCCGTTTTGACATTAATGGGGCGATTCTTTCACAAATGCAATGTGCTCCTCAGTCTGCTTTTTCCGTCTCATTACATCCATCTGGGGTATGTTTACTTGCTGTCTCTTTCGCTTTGATATCTGTTAATAATATTTAAGCGTTTTGTCTTAAATGTTGGTCTTACCAGCATTATCCTTGGATTGAAGATTATGTATCTCAAAGTAGGTTGAGTGACACAAGTAATCAAAACCATCTGGCTTTTCGAATCCTTTTGTATAGATTTTGTCCTCGACTCATTCCTATAAATAATAGGTGTGGCTAGCGTAAACCTTAAACATTCTTTTTTAGCTGCCACGGTCACTACAGTAAGGCTGCGAACGATAGACGTTCTCCTCCGACTCTCGCAAAGCGGGGAGCCTTGTTGGCTGGTCACCCGTGGTCACTGCAATGAAACTTTTAACTTCATTACTTAGCAAAACTCTTTTTCAGTTCTCACGTCATTGAACCGTTGTTTTGTTCAGGTTACCGCAGTAGGAGGTTACGGTGGTCTTGTGGATGTTATTTCGCAGTTCGGAAGCCACTTGTGCACATTCGGCTGCCGATGCGTTTAGGAAGAGTTCACTCGTCTTCTGCTGTTTAAAAGGGGCACTTGAAAGAAGAGTGAAAGAATTTTAAAACTGTAAAACTTGTAAAATTACTAATTGGCCCACTTTTTTGCCCCTGGCGGGAAAAAAGTTTTCGGACAGTAAAAGTCGTAGCATGTAATTCTTTTCCATTATGAGATTAAGACCGCAATTTTTTTGAACTCTAAAGTCGAGAGGAACGAGATTCCGTTTAAGATGGCCAATTATTAGAGAAATATTTGTCGGTTCCTCTTTGCAGACAAGTCAAAATAACGTGCACAAATGAATGTTAATTTTAATTATATATTGTCGTGTTTATGTTAAACTGTGACTTAACAGTTAAGAAAAATAGTGTCGGATACGAGTTTTATATTATTTTTGTACGATTTCAAAACAATTTCGACTGGGCCTAATTTTTTTTTCTTTTGCGGCCCATAAACACGTGCAAATATGTTTGAGCGTGTAAGAGGCCGTTTTATTCTCCGATTCCAGTCCTGCTAATCAGTACCCGCCACGTACCCGGATCGAATCTGGAGGGACGCTAAGACCATACGCAAACCCTCACTCGCCGAGTTTTCACTCATCAGACGCCCAACTCCTCTTTCTCTCTCGCTCTCGCTTTCTCCCTCTTGCATTCCTCAACTCCGCGGCTTAGATCCGAGGAGTTTGGGAAACCCTAATTCCCAGAAAACCAGGACAAAGATCTCTTGCGACGCTCTCTCTCTCTCTCTTCGCCTTCAACTCTCTCACTCATCACTCGCAGGTTTTCCTTTCACACCTTTTCGCTTTTATCTTTTGCACTCGTGCTGTTGTTCGATCCGGTTCTCTTTGTTTTTTTATTCGCAATTTTTGTTGCCGAATTTGTAGATTCTGAATCGGTTTCTGTTCGTTGATGTTGATTTCTTAATTTTGCTAAAAATTGAGTAGCATAATTTTCTGCTTTTTTTAATTGTTTTAAGATTTTAAGATTTGAGAATTTGTTTTAGATAAATCTTGTCGTTCGTGCTGTTCATATATTTTGGTGTGAATCTTTGCGTTTTGTTATGCCTGTGAATCTTTGAAATTCTCGAATTATTGCTGGTAATACTGTTTAGGCCATGTTTTCTTTGATATTCTCGTGGCGACGAAAAGAGTTTTGATGTAAAATTTTGTTCTGAGTTCGTAAACCCTTCTAGAGTGGGGAGCGATGAACATTTTTGTATGTTTTTCGAGAGGCAACCATGGAATTTTGAAATCTGAGACAATTTTTTTAATTCAAAATAGCGTGACGATGGGATTATTTGGAGAATTAAGTGTCTTTGAATGGCTGTCTGCACAGGTTGAGAAGATTCATGGCGTTGTTTAAATATGTTTTTGTTGTAATTTTGTAGTCATGGCAGCAGCACCTGAAGGATCGCAATTTGACACTCGTCAGTATGATACCAAAATGAGCGAAATGTAAGAATTCTCTCGTTTTATACTTTTTAACTGTCTGTTTAGGTCTTTACGAATACTGTTTTTGAATGTCGTGGTTATGTGTTTATTTTGCCCATTTTTTCTTTATTATGTGGTTAAATGTAATTTGTCAGATCAAATTGGGATCTAAGTGTTTCTCTCGTGTTTGGTGAATTGTTTGCTGCAGACTTGCAACTGATGGGCAGGAATTCTTTACATCGTATGATGAAGTTTATGATAGTTTTGATGCTATGGGTCTTCAAGAGAATCTTCTGAGGGGAATCTATGCTTATGGTATACACAACTAGCCTTTACCTTTTTCCCTCTTTTTATTTGGTTATGTGTATTATGATATCAGGAAAAGTTGTAGAACTGGTGTACTTTAATGTCTTCATGAAGTTTTCAATTAGTCTTCTGTATTTTCTCTGGACTGGTGGATGATTGAATGAACGGCAATTCTTTCTGCAGGTTTTGAAAAGCCCTCAGCTATTCAGCAAAGAGGAATTGTTCCCTTCTGCAAGGGTCTTGATGTGATTCAACAGGCTCAGTCTGGAACTGGAAAGACAGCAACTTTCTGTTCTGGTATTCTTCAACAGCTTGATTATAGTTTGACGGAATGCCAAGCCTTGGTTCTTGCACCCACTCGAGAGCTTGCTCAACAGATTGAGAAGGTTATGAGGGCTCTTGGAGACTATCTAGGTGTGAGGGTGCATGCTTGTGTTGGTGGAACTAGTGTCCGTGAGGACCAACGCATTCTGTCAAATGGAGTTCATGTTGTTGTTGGAACTCCAGGTCGTGTTTTTGATATGCTTAGAAGGCAGTCACTTCGTCCTAATAGCATCAAGATGTTTGTTTTGGATGAGGCTGATGAAATGCTTTCCCGTGGTTTCAAGGATCAGGTCTGTTTTCAACTTAATTATGTCCATTTGTTTTATGAGTTCCATGATTTTTGTGGATGCATTATGTTCTGAATAATGATGTTTTACGTAAATATTGGACTCCTCATGTGCAATGATGAAACAATAAATAGTATATCTTGTGACTAAGTATTACTCTGCCCGGTTGTTGGGTGGGAAAAATCTTGTAACTGTAGCCTAATATTCCTTTCGACTTCTCATGTTTCTGCTTACCGGGCTTTTTAGAAATATCCATTTAAATTTCGGAATGTGAAATATGCTGAGTAGTTGAGCTGTCTTCATGTTCTGTGTAGATACTTTCACATTGTATGCATGATTGTAATGCAGCGAGTAACAGTAGTTTGCTCCACCAGTATGTTGCTTTGTTATTTGACCTGGGCTACCTTGAGATATGGCGTCCATTTGATTTCCTTTTGGTTTCCTGAAATCAACCCAATTTTGTAATTAAAATTTTATATATCTAATACGAATTTTGTTTGGGATCCAGATCTACGACATATTCCAGCTTCTTCCATCAAAGATTCAGGTTGGTGTGTTCTCAGCCACAATGCCTCCTGAGGCCCTCGAGATCACAAGGAAGTTCATGAACAAACCCGTAAGGATTCTTGTGAAGCGTGATGAACTCACCCTGGAAGGTATAAAGCAATTCTATGTCAATGTCGACAAGGAGGAATGGAAGCTTGAGACTCTTTGCGATCTGTATGAGACCTTGGCTATTACCCAGAGTGTCATTTTTGTTAATACTCGACGCAAGGTTGACTGGTTGACTGACAAGATGAGGAGCCGAGACCATACAGTTTCTGCCACTCATGGAGACATGGACCAGAACACCAGAGATATCATCATGCGGGAGTTTCGTTCTGGATCATCTCGTGTCTTGATCACCACTGATCTTTTGGCTCGTGGTATTGATGTTCAGCAAGTCTCCCTAGTTATTAACTATGATCTGCCCACCCAGCCCGAGAACTACCTTCACAGAATTGGTCGTAGTGGACGTTTTGGAAGGAAGGGTGTTGCCATCAACTTCGTAACGAAGGATGATGAGAGGATGCTGTTTGACATCCAGAAGTTCTATAACGTGGTTGTGGAGGAGCTGCCTTCAAATGTTGCGGATCTTCTGTGAAGAGATTTTGTCTTCTTAATTACCCAAGGAAAAAGCCGGTATCTGCGTAGTAAGTGTTGCTTTGTATTGAAGTTTATTTTCTGTTTTTCGTCCTTTGAGCCCTCCACATCCCCCACCATTTTGTGTCTTCTCTTATATTATTTAGGATCTAGTTACTTAATTTATGGTTGTTGGATTAATATTTAAGTGGTACAAGTTAAACTTGCAATGTGAAAACCGTCGTTGCCTGAATTGGTTGTGGTGGCCACTCTGTTGTTGCATACTTTCTACCTACTAATATTATTAATGTATGTATTCTTTTGAGGTATGAATTTTTCTTGTGCTTTTAATTTGGTTTTGAATGTTCTTTGTGCCCTTGGATGAGAGCAACTCACATGGCACGATACATTGCCACAATGGCGTCCCGCGGTAATAATACAATGCCATGTTGAGAGAAACATGCACATGTTGTCGTATCATTGGCATAGGATGCCAGTGTCGGTGTACTCGTGTCATTAAAGTCTTAATACTGACTGTAGTGATGACTACCAAGTAGTACAATTTATGCGATAATGTATGGTCAAATCTGGTTGGGATGATAAATGTATGACACCAATTGGCTCTTTTCATGCGAGGAGTCGTTTCTCTTTTATTTCAAATCACGGTGTAACACGTCCAAATGGAAAGCGTTCTCTTCGTTTTTATATAGAGGAAGTAAGAAAAGTTTATGTGAAAAAGGCATTTTGCTTGAGGGAACTTTAACAAAAAACTTCTAGTACTGTTCACTTTAACGAAAAATCATAATTTTATTCTAAAAAATTAAGCATGGTACTATTCATTTTACCTTTTATTTTGTATTTATCGTTAAAACTCAAAGTTTTCAAGCCTAAGGAACTTTAACAAAAAAATTTCTGATAATGTTCACTTTAATGAAAAATCATATTTTTACACTAAAAAGTCAATCATAATACTATACACCTTACCTCTTTATCATTAAAACTCAAAATTTTTAAGTTCATTAGTTTTCCTTGATTAGGGAAGAAGGCTGTTGGTTTGTCGTTAAGTTTTACTATGATGGTGGAGTCAACACCTAATTTGTGGGGTCGGCCTTTTATATATGCTTTAGAGCATTTCCATCCTTCTTGGTGGATTTAGATCTAGGAGACTAGGATGTCAATTTTGTATAATTCAACTATTTTATATGCTTAAAAGTATTTCCTCGTGCACCTGGTGTCTCGTATAATTCAACTATTATATAATTTTGCATAGTTTAACTTTATATAATTTTGTATAATTCAACTATTATATATGCTTAAAAGTATTCTCTTATGCACCTGATGTCTCGTATATAGTTATTGCACAGATAAAAATAATTTAAAATAAATCTCTAATTATGTCATGTGACTATGATTGTAGAGTATTGGCGTGGGAAGTTAAAAATATGATTTGGTATTTAGAAGAAAAAATAATTAAAATAGCTGCTGAAAATTTTTCATTTTTTTCTTTTGATTTTTCCTGATTTTAATATTTTCTGTAGTAATAAAATTTTTACTACAGAAAATAAAATAACAGTTGGATTAAAGAATTTGAATCGAACATCTAACATTACACCATGTGTCAAGTGAAGCCTAGCCGACCGTTGTGATGGATATTAGATGCTTAGATTCTGTCGTGCCACTCTCCAGGTTGGGCTCGTGTGGTGCACATACTTGTGCAACAAGAATTTAAAGGCCCCACGGAAGCTAGCACTATGAATTTGGGCTTAGACTCATAATCGACATCAATTGTGGCAGGCCAAAATGGATGTAGACATATTTTGGGTTGAATTTGAAATCTAGCCATGTAAATTTAGAATTGGTGAAAATGTTTTTAGAACCGCCTCATTGATCCTAATACGAAACGACAACGACATGGTCGCGTTTTGATTTCACATGTACCTCACCCTTTTGTCGCTTTCTATCGTAGTCTTAGCGGTGACGTTAACTAAAGTATAGTCGTTAGGATTAACACACCAATTGCAATTAGTCTCGAAACGGAAGGCAATGCGATGAGGAATCAAGTCCCACAAAAAAAAAACATTTTTCCTGGGTTTAACTCGAGAGATTTTTCAGCGTGACAGACATACCATATGGTACATCATATGTTACTATACAAATGGTGGGATATGTGTGTTAAAAAGTTATTAACTTAAAAAATAAAATTTATCATCAATTACATAAAAACATATGATGTACTACTCGTGTTCCCATCACAATAAAAAATTTCTCGGTTTAACTCTAAGCTTCTGCTAATCTATCTTTGGCCAAGTGTAAAGCATGATTAGTGGCACAATATTTTTATATATTCATTTGCGTCATGTAATCTGCAGTACGATTCTTTTAACCAAGTTGACTCGTGAAAACAACATTTGTAAATAAATAGAAAGCTCAAGTGATTAGTCACTTGCCACTTGTCACTAGTATTTTAGTTAATTTATATTTTTTTTATTCGTAAATAATGGATTTTAAGTTTAATTTACTTAAATATCGTTCGACGACTAATTATTATGATCATTTATGTGACTCTGATCTAACCCACACCCCATATCCCAAACCTTAATATGAAATAAAAATGTCGTTGTTCTAAGACCGTGATTAGTTAAGTAAAACATTATTTGACCCCTTAATTACAAATCTCAATCTAACAAGAAGAAAAGGTTTCAAACATGTTTAAATTATGATTGAACTAACCGTAATACTAAGTGACGTTAGAAAAATATCTTAGATAGAGAAAATAGTTAATAGAACTACATCGTAGGAGGAATCTCACTTCGAATGGGATTAAATATAGTACAACAAAAAAATTTGAATGCTCTTGAGTACCGAATACTCTAATATTTTAACTGTTAAATCTCAAATTTTATGTTTTTAAACAAAAATTCAACGATTAAATTCCATAAAATATCGAATACTCTAAAGCACACAAAAATTTCCATGATAAGAAGGGTCTCTTTCTAGGAGGTGCAGACACATAGTCTGACATCCCTTGACAAATATTTATCAGAGGTGATTGTCTGCTTTTCCATTTTCATACTCTTTCTATGTCTTCCTGTTTGTGTAGTCACGGTTAAGCCACATCAACATTTTATATTCCTATTACTTTTTTATTTTATTATTTCTATAAAAAATTAATATAAAATATTGACGTGACTTAATCATTGCTACACATCACAGAGAACATGAGGAGAGCATGGAAATTAAAGGGCAAACAATCCACCTCTATACTTATTCATCCCATGTTGTACTTTCCCATATAAATATAAAAAGTACCTAAAAATCAGCATCTTATTATCCGATTAGATGCTAACCAAAGCTAATTTGTTTACTTAATTTGTGTTGGGAGGTAAGCGGGAGCCGAGGAAAGGAAGGCAAGAACCGGGAAGCGGTTTGTATGCGGAAAGCTCCACGGGACCAGGTCTGCATCTTCGTCCCCCTCCCTCTCCCTCTCCCTCTGTCACACTCTTACAGGACGACACAGTTTTTGGTTAAACGCCATAACCATCACACACCAATTCCCCAAGCGGCCGCTTGTCGTTTCTCCGCCTCCTACCGCCCCCCCTGACATCATCGCTTCGTCATCATACCTGCAATCGCCACCGTCTCTCTCTCTCTCTCTCTCTCTCTCTTTCCTCTGTGTTTTTTGTCGCTTTTTATATAAAGACCTCTCAGCTTCCCACTCATTCACCGCCTCTACGCGAATTTTCTCGCTCCCCCATTTCTTCCTCTATATCTTTTTTTCCATCTGAAATCTCTCTCTCCCCTCTCTCTCCATGAATTCTCTGGAATCCGAACCATAAAGATTATCTGAAGTCTCTCTCTGTTCACCTCTTTCTTCATCTCTCTGAGTGTGTGTGTATATATATATATTACATATATTTGCTGTTGTTTCATGGGATTGCGGATTCGCCTGAGGCAGTAGCCACCGCAGGCGCCACCACGAACCCCCGCGCCGACCCAGATCTCAACCACACGCTACGTCGCAGACCCTCAGCCGGCACCGTGGCGGAATTCGACTCGAACGCGAACCAGGACGCAATTCCTTGAACCAGTTGGTTCGAGACTCGGGGAGTGATGACTCGGTTGGCGCCAAAATCTGCGACGCCGGCGATGGCGGTGCGGAGTCCGTCAATGCTGTTCAAGACAAGAAGGGACTTGGCGAGAATAATCGGGCCGCTGATCCCTCCGCCGCGAAATTCACGTATCGGCCGTCCGTTCCTGCTCATCGGAGAGTTAAGGAGAGCCCTCTCAGCTCTGATGCCATCTTCAGACAGGTATTTAAGCCTTGCGTAGCTTAATTTCACTTCTAATTAGTGCCACTAATCCATGATTAATTATCAGTAATGAATATGTGTTTGCTATGAACAAGTTTTTGTCTTTTAGCTTTCACTGAAGCTTGAACAAGATGCTGATTGCAAGCTTTGATTTTTTTTATTTTTCTGTGTGTATTTTTGAAGAGCCATGCAGGTCTCTTCAATCTGTGTATAGTAGTACTTGTTGCTGTAAACAGCCGGCTTATCATCGAGAATTTAATGAAGGTTTGCCATGTGCCCGTGTCCACTGCTTTTTCGATTAATTTTACACTGTTTGGTTGTTCGTGTTTCCCTTGTAAATTAGGGCATTTATAGAGGTTTCTTACTGTTCAATTATTGTTGCAGTACGGTTGGTTAATTAAAACTGGTTTTTGGTTTAGTTCAAGATCATTGCGTGATTGGCCACTTCTTATGTGCTGGTAATATTTCCTTTTATTATGGTTCGATATGCTGTTTGGTTAAAGAAGTACTTAATTATCATTACCATCTTTGAATTACAAGTGATGGGATATTTATTCGGCTCCTCTTTTCTTTCACTTGCAGCCTTACTCTTCCTATATTTCCGCTTGCGGCCTTTGTAGTTGAGAAGTTAGTGCTACGGAAGTGTATATCTGAAGCTGTGAGCAACTTGTTTTGTACTACTTAACAAAAATAGCTTCCTGCAACTCTGTATCTGAAATATGAATTTCTGGTCTGGCATTGCAGGCTGTTGTTTCTCTTCATATAGTCATTACCACAACTTCAATTTTGTATCCGGTTTTGGTGATTCTCAGGTCAGTTTGAACTTACTATCAAGTTTCCATTTAGTTGCATTCCCACAATTTTTTGGTATTAGTCGGTGAAACTATTTATTACATTTTGGCCATGGTGCTGATTGGAGGATTTAGGTTTGAACTATCACTGTTACATTCTCGTTTCTAGCCCATTACTTGTGTTTAAGTGCTATTCATTTATTAGCGTATTTTCTGGATTTACAATCTTGGTTACTACTCTGGAATGCTCCGTTGTCCCCAGTTCTTAAAATAGGCTTGTTTTTGTGGAGATCTTAGAAACTTCAGGGGATAAATTCTTAAGCTGAAATTGACATTGGATGGTAGTTCTGTCTGAAAGATTGTGTGTATATGTAGTACAGGAGAGGCCTTTTTTTATTTGATTGATGGCATCTTTTAGTTGGCTAATATGTGAATAGCAGTGACAATGTTGCATTTATTTGATTTACTTCATTTTCTCCAGGTGTGATTCTGCAGTTTTATCTGGTGTTACTTTGATGCTCTTTGCTTGCATCGTGTGGTTAAAACTCGTATCTTTTGTGCATACAAACTATGATATGAGAGCTACTTCACAAAGCAGTTGAGAAGGTAGCTATGAACTTGTGAATAAGTTTTTCAGTTAACGTGAATATAGTCTTTTCCTTTGCCGCTTTAGATTAAATATGAAGTTTGAAGAAAGTTTATAAAGGTCCTAAATCTTAGTAGATGTTTAATTTGCTTCAACAATTTTTTCTTAATAAATGATTGTTTTCTAATTCTTGAAGTCCTTTGACTGATTGCAGGGGGATGCCACACCTAGTTCTCTGAATACAGATTACCCTCATAATAACAACTTCAAAAGTTTGGCATACTTTATGGTCGCTCCAACATTATGTTACCAGGTAATTGCATTACTCTTTTAGAAATTAACCTAGGTTTTCTTATCCGTTAATCAATCCTTATTCAGAAAGTACAAGTTTATGAATTTTGATGCTTTAGTCTGTTTAAGTCACCTTTTCTTTTATGTTGTTTGCCTTTCCTTTGCCTGTTTTTTGGCTTTTAATTACAAACAGAACAAATATTTTGCCTCAATTATAGACTGTCATGCAGTCACTTAAACTTCATAGCTGCTCCAACCTGGTGTTGTGAGTTTTCCTGTTACAAGTTTGAATTCTGCTCAAACTTTCTTTATAACTCTTCTATCTTTCACTTGACTCATTATTGTTTAAGTAATATGTATGTCTAAGATGACTAAATTATTTTTTCTCATTTTAAATATGATATTAAATGAATCATCACAAGACTATATGATTATTTTCTTACAGTATTATTGGCACCGCTAATTAAAAGAAGGCTAATTTTCATGTATAGATAACTCATAACTTGATCTTTAATGTATGGTTCTTATCTTATGAGGTTAACTTTTACATTACACTTAATCTTTAATTTATGGTTCTTATCTTATGAGGTTAACTTTTACATTACATCATTAATGGAGAAATGAATTTAATTTGATTTATCTGACCCTTATTTCAGACTAGTTACCCTCGCACAGCTTCTGTGCGAAAAGGTTGGGTGTTTCGTCAACTTGTGAAGTTGATAATTTTTACTGGAGTGATGGGATTTATAGTAGAACAAGTAAGTTGGCATTTGTTGTTTTCGACTAGGTTTTAGTGCTCTTTTATTTCGTTGTGATTATTAATAATTACACCTGTATATTTATGCAGTACATCAACCCTATTGTCAAGAATTCACAACATCCTTTGAAGGGGGACTGGTTATATGCCATAGAGAGGGTTTTGAAGCTTTCAGTTCCCAATTTATATGTGTGGCTATGCATGTTCTATTGCTTTTTCCACCTCTGGTACGTCTTGCTTCATCCCCTACCTTTCAGTTCCCAATTTATATGTGTAGCTATACTAAGTTTGCACTTTCAGTCTTGAGTTTATGCTTACATCCGGTGTTAGAAATATAGGTTAAATATTCTTGCTGAGCTGCTTTGTTTTGGAGATCGGGAGTTCTATAAAGATTGGTGGAATGCACAAACTGTTGAGGAGGTGCGTTTTATGTTTATGCAATTTATTCTTAGGTTATGTTATTACAGCTCTGAATTGAAATTTTTTACTATTTACTTTTGTTGCATCGCTCTTCTGGTGGCTGTCATCAGTATTGGAGAATGTGGAATATGGTATGTCTGTTGAACTCTAATTCAGTTGTTATCTTTTCTCATATACTAAAATGTACTACAATAAATTATTGTTTTGACTTCTATTCGATATTCATTTTGAATCTAGGTTGCTTATTGGACTGTAGTGAATGTGGTTCTTAATGTGTTCGAATTTGCATCAAACAATATGTGTATTAGCATTATCATTAATAAGCATTGTAACTTATAAGCCTGAAAAGAGGCTATATAAGCCTAATTTCCTTGTTATCAAAGTTGCCATGTAGTGACAAAACTCAGTTAGATGGTATCTGATGTTTACATTTTACAATGATAACAAACCCACAACCCCCCCCCCCCTCTCCTGCCCAAGTGAAAGTGTAATACTGATTGGGTGTATTCATTTCAGCCTGTTCATAAATGGATGGTTCGCCATATCTATTTTCCATGCATACGGCATGGAGTACCCAAGGTATCTAATATCTCTTTATTTTAATGTTAAGTGATGCGTGATGGACGAACTTTAATTTGTTTTAGAATGTTCAAAATTAATTTGTTTTTTTGTTCTGGCTTTGAATTCAGGGAGTTGCCATCGTCATCTCCTTTCTAGTATCTGCTGTATTTCATGAGGTATATTGCTCTGTTTCTGTGAGTTTATGTTGTTATTTAGTGATCCTCTCCCTTTGGATAACGACTATTCTATCGCTTCTTCCTTCATCATATTCTGTTGTCTATAATCTAATTAGCATTCTTTCTCTTTGGAATGTGAGTGTTGGTAGGACTTGAAACTGATAACTTTGGAAGCATGTCATTAGAAACAAGTGAATCATCATCTTAGTATTTAACCAAGACTTTTAGCTATTTAGGTGTACATCATCCAGGAATGTGTACACTTGGTAATTTGCTTGATACAGTAATTGCTATCAAGCACAACCTTGAAGGGCTATGCTACCATTGGTTATCGGAAGATGATTACCCACTCCGATTACCTTACAAGAGTAGAATACCCATACACATAAGAATGAATTCTGATGTCAGGACATCGGTAATGGCAAAATGAACTCTTTACATTTGATTTTGGCCAAAAGCTATAGACTACGTTCAAGCATGGAAATATATAATTATATTAAATACAGAGCTCCTCATCATGATCACCAACGCAAACTCCACGTGAAACATTATCTGGGGGTCAGCTGAAATATTTCTCCCTTTTGTTTTATGCCTTACTCGGATCTGAATTCTCATGGCTAGTTTCTATAATGAAGCTTGCATAGCTGTTTGTGTTTCTATTATCTTATCCAATATTGTTCGACTCGTCTCCAGCTATGCATAGCTGTTCCCTGCCACATATTCAAGTTGTGGGCTTTTATTGGAATTATGTTGCAGGTAAGAACATTGTAGTTTCCTTGCCTCATTTAGGAGTCCTACTCATAGTGATGATCAATCTGTCCTAATTTTCTTTTATTGCGTTTTTGTACAGGTACCACTTGTCTTGATCACAAATTTCCTGCAAGATAAATTCAGAAACTCAATGGTATGTCCTTTTTTTAAACATGTTGTCTCATATTATTGCTGCATAGTTTTGCCTACTCACTTGGTTGGCGTTAGCCTTCTATTCAAAATTTAGGGCCCGTTTGGTATTCAGCTTAAAACCTTTAATCATTCTTAAGAACTTCTCTTCAGAACAGGTTATTTATTTATTTATTTATTTTTATTTGTTTATTTATTTATTTTAAATATATAAAATCGAAGGTATTGAACTCAGAAACTGTTTTAGATCTTAAAATTAGTAAAGTTCCAGTCCAGTTTCTTCGTATTGGTCAGGTAAGTAAGTTAGGATCTCATTGGCAACTACCTTCCCCACCTCCTCCCTCACCGTTTTTGCAACCATCCAACGCCAGGAACTCCTTAACCTTTCCTCGTAGCAATAACTAAGTGGAGCCACGGCAGAGTCAAGTTGGCGCTCATGGCAAACACGAAATGACTGCCTGTGGACAGTGGGACCTGATCGATGCTGGCATCGAAGATCACGAAGAGGGGTAGAGGAGAGAGAGGGTGAAGGTCGGGCTGTAGAGTTTTGTGTTTGGAGGTGGTTGTGTTTAAAAACTTTAAAATGTTATTTTATCAAATAGGCATCGTTTTTAAGTTGGTCCTTAAATTCAGTTTTTAGAAATAGGCCAGGCAAACAAGAATTACAGTTTGGAACTCAAAACTTGTTTTTGAGTTATAAAAACTGTATTTGGATTGAATACCAAACAGGGGTCTTAGTTTCTAGAGAGAATTAAAAACCTGGGGGCGGTCCTGCTGGAGAGATAGGGGTACAAGGCATCATGCTAGCATCCTTCTTACAAACTTCCATGTCCCACCTTTCCGTTTGTGGTTTCCAATTCGGCAATTCTACATATTAGAAAGTAAACTCGACGATCAAGAGTTCCTATAGCCCTTTTATATTTTTACTAGTTCGGAGATTCTGTTCGTGCTCTATGAATTGCTGAGGGCACATACTTTCTGTGTACGATTTTGATATTGGTTATGTTCATTATATTTCTTCTAACCGCATTTTTTTTAATCTTATTTCCAGGTCGGAAATATGATCTTCTGGTTCATCTTTTGCATCCTCGGTCAACCGATGTGCCTGCTTCTGTATTACCACGACTTGATGAATCGGAAGGGGCAACTTGAGTGAAGTTTTGAGTCTCGTAAGTATGGATCGAATCGTTCTGGAAGCGGTGTTGCCTTACAAAATATGCCGGCTTTTTATACTTTCGCCGAGGCAACTCAACTCATGCTGCTTCCTTTGGTTTCAACGTTTTCATGCTCCATACGGTTTTCATCTTTTACATAGTTTTGCTAATTCAGTTGGCTTTATATAAATCTTTTAAATATATTTCATCCTAGTTTAGTTTTTTTTTTCTTTTCCGGTATATATTTAGTTTCGGAAATTTGAAGAAATCGTGTCAACATCATCCTCCCTCCTTATATCCTTGGGAACTTTAACGAAAAGCTCTCAGTACTGTTTACTTTGTCAAAGAATCACATTTTTACACTAAAAAATCAAGTCTGGTACTATTCACTTTATCTTTTATTTTGTCTTTATCATTAAAACTCAAAGTTTTCAAGTATTTTTCATTAGTTTTCCATATATCCTCCCCCCCCCCTCTCCTTTCTCTCCAAAAACCACAAACAACCAAATTAGTGAAGCTTAGATTTGACGCCAGCTGAAAAATGGAGGCACGCTACAAGCGGGGCTTGCTTCGCTTTTGTTGCGCAGCTTGCTGCTTTTCATTTTGTTAGTAGTAGGTGCTTGCGCCTCGTTGAGTTTGGGTTCAAGGAAGAGGGCATTTCCATCACGAATGATTCAATCCAGCCATAGGTTCCCCTTCTGCTACCTTGTTACGACTTCACCCCGGTGGAGGACCCTATCGTGGTATGCACCAATATGACCACCAAGGGCCTTTGTGGCACTAGTGTTAAATAGAAGTCATGGGTGATCATTGGTCCGATGCTTGGGGTGAAACCATTTCTCGGGTGTGACGAGTAGTGTGTACAGGGTCCGGGTACATGTTACCTTGAAAGGTTTAGATATCTAATATGGATGTGATGTGATTTCAACGTTATTTGTTTAAGATCTTTTCTACACGAACTAAGAAAAAGCTTGAGGTATTGAGTCACATTTTTTAGCTAAAAACAGAAAAATCAATTAAAATCAGTATAGTGATCCAAAACCAACCATAACAGAATTCCGAATGTCACAAAAAATAAGTTTCTAAATAATATTATTATTTATAACACAATTATAAAAAATAAAAAAAAATGAAAGGCTGAAAAATAAAATTTTTAAAGAACATAAATTAAATATAACAGATAATAGCTAGAACGATTTAAAAAAAAAAAAAAAGAAAGGAATGACTGAAAATTAAAGTTTTTAGATAATGATAGATATTAAATATACGCCCATTACTTTTGTACTAGTAGGCAAAATCATATATTTTTTATTTTTAATTAAATCACATAACTATTTATTAAATTTGTATAATAATGTAATAAGGGCCACTGTCCTTGGACACGAGATTCTCTCGTGAGCATTAACATCAAGTGAAAATTTTCCAGTTCGTGGAAGATTCCAGTAGTAGTACACTGCACATTCTAGATTCTAATAAATAATAAGAAAAATTAATGAAAATAATTTGAAATTTTTTAATTTTAATAAAAATGATAAAATAAATATTAAAATAAATAGTATCAGAAATAATTTTTTGTTAAAATAAATCGTATCGAAAATTTTTGATTAAAGTTACTGTAATAATATCACCGACGAATGATCAGCATCTTGGGTGGGAGTCAGCGCCGAAATGAAAATGTAAATAATTGGTATGCAAAATTTCCACGACCCCCAACGAAGCTCCTTTGACTGTTTGACCGAATACGCACAATCTCCGCTGCACTGGAGCTCTTGGCTCCACAGAGAGAGAGGAGAGAGAGTGAGTGCGAGGCACTGAAGGTGGAGCTCATACATCTTTGCGTGCTCCGTTGAAATCCTAGTATCCTACCATGGAAGATTTCAGATCCAAATCGTGCGGCCACGGAAGAACGGAGGTGGAGACCTACAATGGCGGCAGCGGCGCTTCGTCGGGAGTCAATGGGATGCAGGATTTCAGGTGCTACAGCGCGTCCTACGCGTCCTCAGTGCACCCGCAGCAGCAGCAGCAAACCCAGGCCGGAAGCAACGACGAGAAGTTCAGGAAGGGGAAGTCGGCGAACGGGTCGGCGACGAAGAGCTGGAGCTTGAGCGATCCGGAGCTGCAGAGGAAGAAGAGGGTGGCGAGCTATAAAGTTTATACGGTGGAAGGGAAGCTCAAAGGGTCGCTCCGGAAGAGCTTCCGGTGGCTCAAGGAAACTTGTGATAGAGTCGTCTACGGGCGGTAATCATCATTTCTGAATATAATGTTATATAAATCGGTAAGATTTATTTATTTTTGGTTGTTTAATTTCTGACTTGGTGTTCTTAATTTATAAGATTATGTTGGAAATTATGAAGTTTTAATGTGATTCGTTGATGAATATTTGTATATTGTGGATTTTTGGTAATCTGAAATCATATCAATGAAATTTAAGCCTCTTTTGCTGGTTCATATTATTGTTGAGTAATTTTGTTTTTGGACACAACTTGTTGTAACTAAAAACGCTTTTTGTGAAGATATTTTTGGAATCGATTCTTGGTGACAATGCAAGTGAATCCTAAAAAACACTTGATGCGTCATTTGTTTATGTACTTCTTGCAAAAAACACTTCTAAGTTCTTTTAGAGCTCAAAAATATTTTCTTTAAAAGCACTTTACGACATTTTAAAAGAACTTTCAAACTTAGTGTTTTAACTTCTCGTATCCCTCAACGAATGGGTGTGAATGAGGTTTCGAAATATGAATTCAGGGTTCGGTTTTTGCCAATATCATGCATTTCAGAATGGTTTCCGCTTCCCTCGTGAATGCAAACCCTTGCCAAAATTGTTGTTCTTGAGAAAGTTTTCCGGGAAAGTGGCAACGAAATGGCGATAGAAACGCAGACCGAGTTGTCGAGTGGCAATGCGGAGTTTTCTGGATAGATTTTCTCGTATCAATTAAGCTCAGTTTGTCCAATTAGGTTGTTATTAAGGTTTTTCGACGTTATGGAAGTGGCTGATTCACAATAGAGTGGAGAAGATATCTCCTTTAGGGTGTCGGACCTCATTTACTAGTTCTGTTTCATGTTGTCGGAAACTTTTAAGTTTATTGTAGTTGTCTTAGCGTGTTAGAGCCACTCGGGCAGATGATATGTAGAATTTAACGATGAATGTTCGCTATTCTGCATCCTTAGTCGTCTCTCTTCTTTGTGTTGATGCATTGAGTGTGTTTAGGGGGCAATGGATGAAGGCAGCGGACGTTGGGGGTTTGAGAAGGCTGGCTTCCTGTTGTCGGGGTAAGTATGCGTTATTGAGCTTTTGTAGAGGTTTCCGCTTCGAACTTTGATAATGAGCCTGGCTAACGTGAGTAGTTTCGGTATGAGAAATCTTGCTAACGTGAGTAGTTTCGGTAAACGACTTGGAGACTCGTGACATGGAAGTTCTTCGCCTTCGGGACAACCAAGTTCTTACAACGCAAGCAATAGAACCGATGCGTAAAATTTGGTCAGGCTCGGTCATGCATCATGCAACCCTTCTTAATAGATGTCTCTCCTTCCTACGCTTGGACTTCGAAGTCAAAAGGCCTTCCAAAGTTATCAAGTCCCAATTTCCGTCCCTTCAGTTCTATTTTCGATTAAAAGTTTGTAACCGGTTCTTTATGCATATTCGTAAATATGCGTTCCGGTTGCACGTAGCGATCAGACGAGTACGAGGATTGTGCTGCGTGACCTTTGGTTTTGGGAACAAAGTGAAACATGCAGCTTCTAACAATTCTTTACCAATTTTGTTAAACACACAAATAAGGGCTTAAGGGGAACATTTCTGTTTGAACAATTCAGTTATTTTTCTTTGGAAAACGAAAATTTACATTGTTCATCACGCAAATGAATGTATCGTGTTAAAAGCACAAGTTAAAACAACAAACACTCGCAGCTCTCTTGCATGGGGAAACAACGGAGTTCAAATGAAATCGCCTCCCTCGAAAGGACCCTCTCACCTTCGACGTATATTAAAACAGCCCAAGGCAAAACCATCGAATTTCGATTTACAGAACCTGCAAGGGTCAGCATCGCTAATAATGAACCCTCTCTTCATTGTCTAAATGCAGACCTTCGATGCCTTTAAGGGTAGTCTCGTAGTTCCTAGTCTGAGATGTATGTCTCCGGGTGGGGTCCGATGACTCGACTGGTGAACTTCTTCGGCCACTTGAAATTCTGTGTCCTCCAGGGCTAGCATCAGTTGTTCGAGGGCGAATGTCAGACTCACTTCCGCCAAATGCATCACGGCTGCTAGAAACAGCGACTCTCCTTGATGATCCGGCTGACCGGCCAAAAATGTTGCTATTTGACGTCTGCAAGGCCCAAGCATGCCCATGAGATTTTTGTCGCAAGGTATTAAACACAGAACTATTCCAGTTGATACAACCCCGCAAAAATGATTTCAATTCATAAAATAATGCATTCCAAACAACTCACCTCTCTAGTTAATGAAGCATCATTAGCAATTGGATTCTTCTGCCTCGAAAGGCTCATGGAATTGAGAGCCGGTCCAGGTATTCTCCGCCGAGAGGAATCCAATGATGTTAGACCAGTTGGCCGCCCGTCTTCCTCACCTACAAGGAAGCCATGAAGCAGAATGTTATAAAATCCAAAGCTAATAATATGGGAGAAATGACACCCAGATATCAGAAAACCTTTAGTAATAAGTTATATCACTCGAAAATAAACAAAGAATTCCTTAAATTTATATATTAACATACAGACAGAAGTCAAATCTTAAAATAAGCGAATAGGTGAAAAATGTATGTGGTAATCTAAAACACCACCATCCTCTAGCACCAGCAACAAATAGACTTATCGATAAGAATGCCGTTTAAATTCATCTAGACCAATCCTAAACAACGTACCTGTCAGTCTGTCGGCATTAACAGCAGCATGGGGCATCCCAGAACTTGTTCCAGCACCAGCAAGGGCACGGGTTGGAGGAACAGCCAGCTGTGATTGCTGATACTTCAAAATTGTCCAGTCAAACACATAATCAAACTGAAAGCCTGAAGCAAAACCCAATGGATACAATCAGTGTAAATAGAATGCTCACTGTAATGTGGAAATCCACTTATAATGCTCATTGTAATGAGAATAGAATTCAAACCTTCACGAATAAAGACATCCCGGAATATTTTTTTTAAATAAACATAGTCTGGCTTATCATCAAACCGTAGAGAGCGACAGTAATGGAAATACGAAGCAAACTCTGTCGGATAACCCCGACATAATGCCTGCGAAATCATTAATTCTCTAGTCACAACACGCGAGACATGAGACCTGAATTGTATAAAACCACAATAACATTCACAAGCATCGTACCTCAATTGAAGTAGAAACCTTTTTCTCACTAATTCTCTCATACTTTTGCTTCTTAGTTCCCGCTTTTAGTCCCTGCCAAGGAAGACTAAAGGCAAAAACAATTATTAAACAAAACACCAACAGACAGCACTACAATAACAAAAATAGGGTCTTCAGAAATAATCACCTTCCTCTAAGGAAATACATAAGGACATAACCAAGAGATTCTAAATCATCCCTCCGGCTTTGCTCTATAAAGCGCAGAATAGCATAAAAGAAATTCTAAATCAATGTCAACAAACCAGATAGTAGATTTAACAAGAACAAAAGTAGATAATAGGAATAGAAAAGGCAAAAAGAAAGACTAAACGTCTAAAACATACCAATTCCAAGGTGAGTGTTCATGCTTGCATATCTTGCAGTTCCAGTCAAATTCTTGTTTTCCCTGCAGCATTCATGCCCATGTACAGTTACATCATTAACCACATATCTCGTAGTTGGAGTCCTTTTCTTGTTTATCTTATGCTACATTTCTCTAGAATCATATTCGAAGACCATATTAGGGAACACAGAAAAACACAAATCAATCTCACCTATAAGGAATATGCTGACGCGTTGTACTATCTCTGTATTTCTTAGCCAGACCAAAGTCTATCATGTACACCTACATGTAACGAAAAATCAATTACCGTATTAATAAAGACTCAATGGCATATGAAACATAGACCTACACAACTATGTACACCAAATTGAGATAAAAAAACCTGATTTGCACGCCTTCCCAAGCCCATAAGAAAATTGTCTGGCTTGATATCTCGATGTAGAAATGACTTACTGTGAACAAATTCAACACGACTGATCTGAAATAAATGTCAAGCACAGCAAAGGTCAGTATCTCCCACATAAATATCTAAAACCAATACAATGATGTGCAATTGAGCATAGGCTCACACCTACCATTTGATCAGCCAGCATAAGAACGGTCTTCAAAGAAAGTTTCCTACTGCAGAAGTTAAATAAGTCTTCAAGACTAGGGCCCAGTAAATCCATAACCAAAACGTTATAGTCTCCTTCAACTCCAAACCACCTCACATTTGGAATCCCAGCTGCAAAAACCAAATTTAGAAATCAGAAAACTTACAGCAAAAACTTGCACCAGAAACTGCTGACGAACTATCAAATGCAGCAGTTTCACTTACTTCCTCCTGCTAGGATCCTGTATAACTTGGATTCATACAGCAGCTGAGGGTGTTTTGTCTTCACATTTTCCTAAGTATCAGAAACAGCACGACAATTAACTTCATAACACACAAATATTTCACGCTAATAACAGTTCAAAAAGGAAACTTCAACACCAACACCAAAACTTGAAGACCTCACTTTTTACAAGAAAATACGATCTTCCTAAGATTAGTTTCTAGATGCTTATCAATCAATCAAACCAATACATTGCTCGGAACTCTGCCCATAAAGAGGAAAGAACCTGAAACACAAGCTCCTAGCAGTAATAGCATCAACATAAACGGGAAAATCAATTGATCTAAGGACCAGTCGTTCCACAAAACCTTGATTCCTCAGCATTACTAACGCAAAGTGAAAGCCGAAGCACGAAAACCAGACCATGAACTTAAAGAATCATTCATACAAATTCTCAGATCACGGATTAAACTTAAATTAACACGTAACTAAAAAACTAGCAAATGGGCATCAAAATCAACCAAAAATAAATAAATAAAATCAAAACTTCGTAGCTGAATTGGAACAAAAACGCCACTCACAAGCTTAATCGCGACCTCTTCGTTCGTCTGAATATTTGTACCTGCAAAAAAAAAAAAAAAAATTCAAATCCACAATTAACCACCTCCTTACATACATAAATATACAAAATTACATACAAATCCACAATTAACAGGAAGAATAAAGAAGCAACAAACCCAGATAGATCTCTCCGAACGAGCCGCTGCCGATCTTCCGGCCGAGCCGAAACTTATTCCCAACGCGAGGTTCCATATCTTCCAGAGCAGCCCAAATCAATTGAAATCGAAACCCTAACCCTAAAATTACAAAACCAAAAAAAAAAAAAAAAAAATTCGGAGAGAAGTTGGAAGATTATTCCAAAAAATCACATCAAAAACAACGACGACGACCCCGCAGGTGCATCAGCAGAAGGCAGTCGGCCGACTCAACCGCAACGACTCCGGATTGTTCATCCAATATAAGCAAAGCAGGAAAAAAAAAAAAATTATTACGCAAAAGCAAAGCAAAGCAAACAAATTTTGTACGGACAGCAATGCGCTGGGGCCTCGGTGGGTTCTTTCTTGTTGGAGATCTAGGGTTAAGATTTTCTTTTTTTTATTCTGAATTATTATATTTTATTTTATTTACTTTTGTTGGGTTAAAAGCACTTTTGGATTATAAATTACAGAAGGAGAAGCGGCAAAAGCAAAAGCAGAAGCGGGCTTGTTGGCCTATTGTTATCTATAGTATTCGTATCTATACCCACCACCGCCCCCTCCTATCCAATACACAGACACAAAAATACAACACGATACAATATAAGAATATGTTGAATTAACAAGAAGAATTATTATATAATCACAAAAAATAACGACACGGCAAGAAACGCGACAAAACAAAAGCATGAAGGGATACCACCATGTCAATGCATGGTAGCTTCTATCCTACTTTTCTACTTTTGATTCACTTGGAAGCTTAATGTTCAGCAGATGAAAAATGCTTATTTTATTTTTTTTAACTTTTACATTCAAATTTTAGAGATAACGAGTTCATAATTAATTTATTTATCTGGCTCCATTAAATATATCATTACACACAAACAAAGTTCAATGGATTGAAAATGTCTTTTTTATGTTTAGTATGTGCAGAAGTGAGAATGCTAAAATGAAAATAGATGGTTGAGAGCAATTTCATTTTTTTCTTTTTTTTTGGGAATATGATGTCACGTGACATTTTCGCAAAGCAAGAGAGATCTTGACACGTGGTCCAACCGTGTGTGATTTCAATCTGATCTTTTGAATTTCAAAAGACCGACTAACCCATGAAAAACGTGACACGCACTCCGTTTGCCGTGTCTTACATACTTTATTTTATTCAAGTTTGGATAACCTTTTTAGAGATGTGCTATTCATACACTTTATTTTACTTTTTACATTCCTCTTGATAATTTTTGTCTATTGATCTTTTTCAATTCAACCGATCAAATGGCCGAAAATTAAAAAGATATATAAGAAGTAAAATAAGGTGTATAGATATCACACCTCTCTTTCAATTACACCGTCCGAATTTACTTGGAAAAGTGTAAATCACTTTTAATTGGTAAGTGAGATCGTTCAGATAAATGTCTTATGTTTTTGTTAGATGCGTCACAAGAAAACGTACTCGGACACTTATATTTAATTTATTTTCTTAAAAAGGTATGTTTTACGTACAAATAATCGTTTTGCATGATCATAAAAAAAATAAAAATAAAAAACAAATATTTGTGCAATAATTAGTCAAGTCTATACGCGTCAACTGTAAATAATAGAAAATAAACACTGTTTTGCTAAAACCATTTTTTTTCTTATTAGGGAAATTAGTTTTCTTTAAAAAGAAAATTAATGAAAAAGGTTTGCTAAAATGACAAAAAGATGTTGTATGTAAATAGTATCATAAGTGAATTTTTAAAGTAAAAATATCATTAACATTAAGAATGAACAGTACCAAGAGCGTTTGGTTAACACTCCCTTCTTTAAGTTCAACTTTTTTGGAGGATGAAGAACATTTTGTACAAATGCGCAGGAGTAATTTCCAATTGCAATAATTTACAAATGTGTAGACTCCTAACTGTGTAAAGCTTCAAGGAAAAAAAAAAAAAAAAAACATCAAAAACGAAAATGTTCAGTTTATACATAGCAAGAGCTTGAAGCTTGAGATAGCTTGCAAAAATTATAATATGTTCCGGTGTATCTTATATTCGGAAACATATACCGGAAAACGGCTTGAAATAGAGCAATACTTTCATGGAGTGAAGAAAGTAGAACCACATTTGCATCTCCATCCTTCAGGCTTGTAATTGGTATATTGAAGTCCAAAGTGGTCAGTGGTTGTGGGTGTCTGAACTGGAACACATGGCTCACAGCTTCCACATATATGCTCACAGTTGGGTGGCCTTGACCCCAGCCTACTCAGCCCTCTATACCTTCTTCCTCCCATGCCTTCCTCGACTCCCTAAAACACAAACCCTAGTTATCCATATACCAAAACACAAACCCTAGTTATCCATATACCAAAACATAAACCCTAATTATCCATATACCAAAACACAAACCCTAATTATCCATATAATATATCCAGAGATATGGAGGGCCAAAGTTCAAGGATGTACCTGTTTTGAGTCAAATGTAGCTCCTTGGGAATATGGGGTTTTCTCTGTTTGATTAGCTATAAGAAAAGGTATTTGGAATCAATTATTACACATATAACTTTACGAAAACACAGTATTCTAACATAAACCGAAGATATATCTGGCACGTGATAAGAAATATAGAGATATGGTGATAAATTTCCGGAAACAGCCAAGAACCTCCCATCAGAAGTATAGTATCAGTAATTTAGTAGGTTGCTACCTTGTTGATGTGGAGCATCGTAGGATGCAAAAGGCCTGCTTGTAAGAGAAACCCAACACAGAAGAGTAGCAACTAGAATAATGCAGCATGTCTTTCTCTTCATTTTTGTTGGAAATATCCAAATGGCAATATTGATGAACTGTTTTGTGGGATCAGTAATTAGTAGGTTGTTACCTTGTTGATGTGGAGAGAGAGAGAGAGAGAGAGAGAGGCAGGGGGGATGGAGATGCAGGGGAGAGAGAGAGAGAGGTATATCTGTTCTGCCTTCTTGTCAAACAGAACCCTAAACCAAGAAGCCAAATGACATGGACAAGATTGGAATATGGGTGTAGAGCTAAAAATAATCGAGAAAAATATGGAGGTAACATGCGGATTCTTGAGTTCAAAAGATAAAATTACCCTTGAGGGGCACCGGAACTCCCACACGTGAGCAGCGGACAATCACAACTCAATCAAGGTCAAAAGTGATCAAAATAGGTATTTATTCAAAACCTATTTCATCCATCTCATCAAATCCTCCCCAGGGTAACCTCTAAAATATTTATTCAAAATAGGATTAATTACCTAAATTAATTGATTAATTTCCTAAGTAATTGCAAGATATTATTTTGACATAAGATCTTGCAATTACACCTAGAAAACCACCAAATGCGGCCGGTTCCCATCTCTCCCATAGGGGCCGGCCACACCCCTATAAACATCACCTCATTTCTCCAAAAACCTAAGTCCAACTCTCTTGCTAAATTTTTCAAATTTCTCTAAACATTTTTCCCTCAAATTCTAACTTTGGCATCGGAGATTCTTCGGCCAAAGCCCCTCTCATTCATCGTGGACGTGTGAAGCTCTTGGCCTTGAACTAAGATGTTAATTGTTTTGAAGGTGCAATTTTGTCCAAAAATAAGAAAGCGAAAATTTGCATCCACGATAGGAATGCTCTTTCTTTTGACAACTCAATCAGTCCTACACTCCAGTCAAAGGCCAAAAAATACCATAGAAAATGTGAAAACTGTCTGATTTATGTGAAGGTATGGGACCCTGTTCCTTTGGACGAGTTGGTCAAGGGCACAAGAATTTTCAACTGGAGAGATTTATTCAAAATCAGAACACTAAGATTACAGTCTTCCAAACAATCATGTTTTATTATATGCAAATAGTAAATTAAAAAGTACATGAAGTTTGAAGTTGGGGTCAGTTTTCAAACAAGAAGGGCAGATGAAGAACACACAGTCCATCTGGCTGTGCACTCCAAAGTCTGAATTTTCCAAAGATTTTATTGGGTTGGGATTGATGCCTTTCTTGCAGTCTTAATGTTGTTGCAATAACGACTTATTCAATTTCCTGCGAGTAAGCAGGACTTTGCTAGCTCACATCAGAATCTCATTACTATTTATGGTAAAGTTTCTTGTTCATAGCTACACAAGCTTCATTAGTAAAAAAAAACAAACCTATACTCGAGACTCCATGAGCGTTGTAGGCACAATAGTGCAGTGGCAGATGCGTTAAGGAAAGTCCGGACAAGTGGCCGTCATGGCCTTCGAGGACCATTCAAGTTTGGGTACGTGGTGAAGGAGAAGAAAGCAGCGGCTACAGGTTCTCCATTGGTTTTTCTTGTATTAACAATGAACCTATCATATTTTCCAGAGTATGAAATCTAGTTGTGGACAAATTTAGTTTTTGTAGCTTTTTGGGTAAACAGCTTATAATGTTGTTTGTACAAAGATTATAAATGAAAAGTTAGTAGTTTATCATTTAATTTTTCAATGTTATTTCCATCAGAGCATTTTTATTGGGACTACTCGATGTTAGAATAATGAATCAGTCTCTGCAGGTATGTACACTTTTTATGCCAACTAAGTTTCTTCGTAATTTTGGTAAATGAATTTTTCGGAGCTATATTCTTATGAAGTTCATCCAATTAGTGAAAATTAGAACATGTTCACAAGTCACTTTAGATGGAAAACGGAAAAATTTTAGCCCAACGCTATTAAATATCTGACTCCGCCCTAACTTGTACTTGCATAAAAACATAAATCTGATTTATGAATTTAATGTATGAACGACGCATAATATGTATTATGTGTATTACATATCAAACTGAATTTGTAAATCACTTGGTTACTCGTAAATCCAAAGTTGTGGTCTTCCCCTACGCCAATAATCCTATAGTATCGAGTTATAAACCCTGAAAACGAAGTCAAAGAGGACATTGCTAAAGAAAACTAGTAAATTGGCACATGCATGCAGATGCAGTCTCCAGAAACGCAGACCTCAACACACACACACACACAGAGACTGCATGCAGCTACTACTACATAGGAGCCCTACGGGCTACCATATATGGACCTGCCTGCCTCGTATGTAGAGGATGCATGACATATTGACACGTGGAGACGAAAGCCATTTCTTTTCCTTGCCGTACAATTTGGCACAAATATCGGACAATATCTGCAAATTTGTCCCTACTAGCATCGGTAGCGAACCCAGTACGATGCACTGATTAGCGTGGTCTATGACCATATATGATACTGATGAGAGGCTGGAATTTAATTAAACCAATACGATGCACTGATTTAATTAGCCGACTAAATAGTACATGAAGTTTGAAGTTGGGATCAGTTTTCAAACAGGAAGGGCAGATGGAGAACACACAGTCCATCTGGCTGTGCACTCCAAAGTCTGAATTTTCCGAAGATTTTATTGGGTTGGGATTGATGCTTTTCTTGCAGAGTCTCAATGATGTTGCAATAACGACTTATTCAATTTCCTGCGAGTAAGCAGGACTTTGCTAGCTCACATCAAAATCTCATTAACTATTTATGGTAAAGTTTTCTTGTTCATAGCTACACAAGCTTCATTAGTAAAAAAAACTTACATAAACTCGAGACTCCGTGAGCGTTGTAGGCACAAGAGTGCAGCGGCAGAAGCATTAAAGAGAATCCGGATAAGTGGCCGTCAGGACTTTTGAGGACTGGTGGAGGAGAAGTGAGCAGCAGCTATAGGTTCTCCATTGGTTTTTCTTGTATTAACAATGAAACTATTATAACATGTTTTTCAGAGTATGAAACCTCGTCGAGATTAAATTTAGTCTTTGTAACTTCTAATGGTTTTTTTTTTTAGGTAAACACTTATAATGTTGTTTGTAAAAAGATTATGAATGAAAAGTTAATAGTTTATTGTTTAATTTTTTATGTTATTTCGATGAGAGCATTTTTATTGGGACTACCTAATGTTAGAATCATGAATCTGCCTCTACAAGTGTGTACACTTTTTATGCCAACTAAGTTTTTTCGTACACAAGGGTGGAGTATCTTGGTAAATGAATTTTTTAGAGCTATATTCTTATGAAGTTCATCCAATTAGTGAAAATTAAAATAGGTCCACAAGTCACTTTAGATGAAAAAGGGAAAATTTTTAGCCCAACATTATTAAATATCTTACTCCGCCCAATTTGTACTTGCATAAAAACATAAATTTGATTTAATAAGTAGACGGCCTACCCGCTTTCCTTTCGGTTAGCTGCCCCTCAACCATGTTAGGAGACTTTGTATGAATGACGTATAACTGGCGCGTTTACTAATCTGTAATCAAATTTAGAGGAATTGGATTGAGGGGGAATTGGATTGAGAAGGAATTGAAATGAGTTGGAATCAGAATCAAATTCCTTTTGAAGTTGTTTACTAAAATTGTCTGGAATTGGAGTAGGAATGATGTTGAGTCCATATAAGTTCTTTACTAATTTACTTCAATCGGAATGAAAGCTAGGTTGATTACTATATTGCCCTTACATAAATAAATTATTTTCATACTAATTAATTAAATTTATATAATAAAATTCATCTATATGAGCATATATAAATAGGTTTTATTTATTTATTAAAAGATGGCAAGAATGATGTTGAGTCTATATAAGTTGTTTACTAATTCATTTCAATCGGAATGAAAACTAAGTTGATGACTAAATTGCCCTTACATAAATAAATTATTTTCATACTAATTAATTAAATTAAATTCTTAATTAAATTTATAAAATAAAATTATCTATATATATAAATAGTTTTTTTTTTATTTATTAAAAATGACATAATGAGTGTCAAATGAAGGGCAATGTGGGGATAATAAGAAACAAGTGAGGGCATAATAAGAACAAAAGATGCATTCCCGATTCCCTTACCCTCCAGGAATTCAAATACCTCACAAAACTAGGGAATCTCGTTTCTCCAATTTCAGAAATTGGATTCCTTGTTTTATATGGGTTCCCCCACTTTCTTTATTTCTTAATATTTAATAAATACCAGAATACTCCATAATCGGAATTCAATTCTTTTTCCTTATTCCGATTACCCTTACGAAAACGTACCAAACATGTATTATGTATATCGCATATCAAGCGGGATTGTAACTCAATTGGTTACGCGTAAATCCAAAGTTGTGGTCTTTCCCTCCGTCAATGATCCAATAGTATCGAGTTATAAACCCCAAAATCGAAGTCAAAGAGGACATTGCGAAAGAAAACTAGTAAATTGGCACATGCATGCAGATGCAGTCTCCAGAAACGCAGGCCTCGACACACAGAGACTGAGAGACAGATAGCCTGCATGCAGCTACCGCTAAATATACTGCATAGTATATAGGCGATGCATGACATATTGACACGTGGTGATGAAAGCCATTTATTTTCCTTGCCGACAAGTTTGCACAAATATCGTACAATATCTGCAAATTTGTCCCTACAAGCGTCGGCAGCCAACCCAGGCTATCCTGCAGTTATGAATGAGGCTGTACACAGAGTCTTCACATCAACAGAAGAGAGGAGAGAGGGGGGGGGGGGGTGCGGAGCCGTGGGGGAGGGGAGGGCGGGGAGTTGGGGGGGAGGGGAGGGAGAGAGATGGCATGTATGATACTGGAATTTAATAAGCAAAATGCTTATTTTCTCTGTTAAAATAGCATAAGTAACACATGTGAAACGTGAACAAATACAACGTAATATGTGAGATACGTATAGATAAAATAAATGATATGACGATTAATAATTAGACTTATTTTTAATAATTTAAAGAATAAATTCAATCATCAACTGTGACATCACATACATAATATAGTCTGAAAATTTATCTCTAAAATTGCCTGTAAATTTACTCTAGTATTTGGATGAACTTTTGAATATAATTGTATCATTCACTGGCCTCAACTTCCGGTATACAAATGAATAAATTGAACCCGACCCGACCCAAAATTACATGAGTTAAATCGGTACAAAATTGAAAGAAAAAAAAATGCAATTTGGATTAGTCAAGGCATATACAAAAAATTAAATGACCTAGATCAAAATAAACTTGATGAAAGAATCAAAGGAACGAAAAAATTGGGTTAGTCCCCTTAACTCATCCTTATTGAACTCAGCAAAAGGCCCACCATGCTTCCGGCAGATGACTACCCACCAGGTACGGCTTCTTTGGCCCATTATTAACCTACTGTAACTAACTCCAGCCCACGAACCTAATGTGCCCTTCGGCTAGCTTAATTGGCAGCGGCGATTGGGGTCCTTGGGCTAGGGAGGCCCATATATGCGAGCCGGGGTGAGAGCCTGATCTTTGGGCTAGGCCTTGGAGAAGGAATTGGGCCATAACGTACTGACGGCCCAGGACCGACTCTAGGAGATAGGTTAACTTGTTCAAGTGCCCTGGATTGTAGTTCGGTCGGGTAGTCCCGAACACACCCGATTCGGGGTCCGGTTGCTGTTGTCCATTTGCATGACAAGCGCCTGGGCATGTCAAAAACTGGTGGCTTGGCATTGGCACTGTCAACCTTCTTAGTTTGTTCTTGAACGGTTGTGATTGGAGCCTTGCTGGCCAAGTCATGTGAATCAGCTTTGTTTGCACCGTCGGATCGGTAGATTTGATTGAACCCTCCTTTGTTGATTCCCCTTCAGTGGTCTTCGTATAAGAGAAGTCATCATCAACTGCACACCTCTGGAAAATCAAGAGAAATATAAGTTAGAACGTGAACAAACAAGCACACACTCATGAACACTTGGTCTAACGAGGTTCTGAATTCAAACTTCATTAACGATACTCATTGGATAAGAAAACAAACACGAAACATTTACCTTGACATTGGAGAGGTCGACGTGATTATCTTCTAAAAAGCTGATAAATTCCATGAAGTTCTCTTCTGTTGGGTGGTAATGACCACTGTATGGCCAAATAGCCTGAAATAACAGTTGAAATTAAGTTTAAGACATGACATAAAAGTTACTTGGACTATAAGAAAACACACAAACGTATTACTAGCCTCTTGGCCCACGCTCACACATGTGCAGGGGTAAATTTCGTACCTCAAGAATCCCGTCACGGGCAACCAATCTTCCGGCTGCAGTGGTGGCACCACCTGCTAGAAAACTTGAGTGTTGGAACTGACCCTTCTTCTTCTGACCAACATACAGAGACCTTGTTGTGCTGAGGACAAATATCCATTTGGAACCTTCATGTGTGTTCACAAGCACCCCACCCTGCCTGTATAAAAGCTTCCCATTTTCGACTACTACTTCATATGCTTCTCTTTCTATCTGAACATATTGCAAGCACAAAGAAAACACACGTAAGTATGCAATTAGCAAGCATTTTACGTTGGTTGTAAACGAAATTCGGGTTTAGGGGTTGGACTAACCGGTCCAAGATACTTGATGCATTGACGTTGTAGAACTGCCCTGCAGCATTTCTCGAGGTTTATTTCTTTCCCATCTCCGACATCCAACCTACATTACACAAATTGATCAGTAATTGACATGGAAATCATCTCGGAAACACAGGAACAATAAAAATATTACTACTTACCAGTAGAAGAAAGGTTGGCTGCTCTCACTTTCAAACCAGATGTCATAGTAAAAGTGTAAATTGTGTCCATACCGATGTCGTGGATCAATCTGCATAAAATATCAAGAAACATCTAAATGTTAGATCATGAATCCCGTAATGTGTTTAAATAAGCACGAAAAATCATCAATTTTTCAAGTTCAGATAAAATGTTGTCGAGTTTTCGCAAGAACTTACCGCTTCAAGCCAGTGTTGAAGAGCCAATTTTTGTGCCTTCTCATCCTTGGACAAACCCTTTCCAACCTTGGCTGCTCTAGTCCTAGCCCTCGCCCACCGCGAAACAGCAGTTTCCGGCTTCTCAACGTTGAAGAATGACACAGAACTCCTCTTCAGAGCTGCAAAATCTAATGCCTTCCACCTAAAGTATTCCAAACAACCAAAATTAATCAAACCGTAAAATAAAAAAAATTGAAAATTTGATCAAATCAATGGCAAGAAATTACAAGAAGACTCACCATAGCTCCTCAACCACGACAGCACAATCAGCAAGGTTTCTTCGGGTCCGGTAACTCTTGTAAACCTTCTGAAGCTTAACAGCAGCAGCATCAAGCTCGCTAACCGGCCTTGGCGAAAACAAAATCACCGGTTCAGGGAGAGCAAGTGCAGGCATTGGTTTGTGCTTCAATTCATTTTTGCCTTTACAGAACTCTAACTCCATGTCTTGTTTATCTTGAACAAGACCCTTAAACGAAAGATTCCTGTCGAGCATCACTTTTTCGGGTTTGCATTCACTCAAGCGACTCGAATTGGTAGTGCCCGACTTGCTAGAACTGTCTGAATTAACTGCCAAGGATTCGGATTCACTCTTGAAGCTGTGTGTTCTTAGAATAACTTGTGGTCCTCCATCTCTGGGAGTTATACTGATGTTGTAGGTCAATTGAAAGAATCTGTGCTTCACAATTTCTTCCCAGGCTGAGGCAAGTAGTGAGAGGGATAAACCCATAAGATCTAACAAGTTCAAGTCGAAAGGCGCAAAATCGTCACCTGCTAATTAGTAAGAACATAAAAATCTATGAGTAAAGATTGAAACCACCAAGATTTAATCAAAACCCAATTAAATTTAATCAAACTACAAAGTGGGTTGTTAACAGATTCGAGAGATTAATCATTACCTAACCTGAAATGGGATTTTCACGAAGTCCTAAAAAGTGCTTTTGAAATTCCGAAACTCCAAAGAGATATTGAATGGAATTGGATGGGATATGAGTTGAGTCTGACTGCTATATATATATAAATATATATACCTCAAACAACAAACAACAAACAACTAATCCCACTAGTCCCCTTGGAAGACGTGTCAAAACGACGGAATTGGAAACTTGGAAGATGGAAAATTTGGAAAAAGACCAACGCTTTGAATTCCAGGGCAACCAAAAAGTTTTGGGTTTTTTGGTTGCTGTGGAATTGGAAGATAGACAGAAGAGGGAAAGGTAGGTGAAAGTTTTCTGGATTCAACGTTTGAGTTTTCTTTCCCTTTTTTATTTTCTTTGGTTCAAACCCCACGAGTTGTTTGATCTATTCAACGCTTGAGAAAAAAGCACTTATAAACTGCTTCTCACAGATGTGAACGGGCCACTTATAGAGCTTGTGTTGTTCATAACACACAAAACAAGGAGCTGCAGAGAAAGAGAAAAAGGGGAGAAAGAGAGAGGGGGAGAGAGCAAGAGATTTGGCGGTCAAATAAGGTAAGCTTGGAGAGGGGGTTTCCGTGAAAAAACACAGAAGTGCTTTTTTTCCAAGAGGAACACGTACGCGCTGTTAACTCTAACAGCAACTGGGACTTTTGTATGCTTTTTATGATAATCTCATCAGTCAACAATCAATCAAGAAGTTGGATGGAGGGCCTTCAAAATTCAATCTCGATCGTCCATGGCTTCGGTCATCGACGCTCCTCTTCTGTTGGAGTTATTGGATTGAAAGTTTGTTGTTGCTTACTGTTTGTTGTCATTGTCGCTGCTTTTATGTCCTTCTTCTACGGACTCATCGAGTTTACCATATTGCCCTTATTTTACCGGGAATTGAAGTGATGGCCTTCCAAGTTGTTGGGTGGCACCGTCGCCCCTCAAAGTTCCAAACCCTAAAATGTATTTGTCGTGGTTAAATATCAGGGTCTGAAATATGATTTATCACACAAACAATATTACAAAACGAATGGAGCGTGATTCAAACTTGAGTGTATGGAAGAAACACATTATTTTTAGCAAATGTGAATACGTATACGTCTGTAAAGCAAGATAATAACGAAAAATTTTATTATAAATGTCTCGTCAAATAGTTTTTGTCACCTTTGAAAATTAATAGCAATCGAGTTGGGGAGTAAAACCCTTTAACGAGTAATGTACGTATACTACGTATTAAGAGAATAGTAGAAGATTTGAAATCTCTGCAATCAAAGGTATTTTGCCAAACGTAATACATACTTTCATACAAGTATTGGATTAAGTGGTGCACATTAACAGATAACGCAATGAAAAATACCAGTAGACGGAAAGCGAAGTGCAATGAGAATGTACCAAGAAAATTAAGAAGAAAATGTAGAGGAAGAGGAGCATGTGGAAATTGGCATAGGAAAAGTGTTGCCTTTGAATTGTGATGCGCAAGAGACGTGTTTGACAACTGCACATAGACACAGTGAGTCCAAATAAACAGAGATCGAGTCAAAAGTCAAGATCAAGGAATCGATGTATTGGTACGATATGCTTGTCAGACAATAAAATGCAATGCAATCTTTCCAGTCATCTCAAGAGTCAAGGCATCCATAATTCTAAACTCAAAAAGTCGTTTGATAACCATTTTACTTGTAGTTTTTTATTTTTTGAAAACTGAAAATTCGTTTGGTAAATTTTTTTTTTAAACAAACAATATTATCTACATTAAAGAAAGAAAATCGGTTTAGTCTCGTAATAGACTAGTAATAATGTAATTCAAATTCGTCTTTGGCGTGAAACGAACCTAAAACCTTTGTTTGGTAAATATTTAAGTTAAAAAAAAAAACTAAAAACTAAACTTTGAAAACAAAGTAATTTTCATTTTTTTGGTTCTCCGCTTTCATTTATTTGAAATTTAAAATTTGAAAATAGTTAAAAAACGAATTTTTAGGAAAAAAAAAAGAACTGAAAACTGAAAACAATATAATTTTCAAACAGCACCTTGATGATCCACGCCCATGAACAAAAAGAAAATTGAATTTATAATGAAGTATATTTCGTTATGCATGGATGACTCATCACGTGACTATAAAACATACAAATCACTAGTTGCAATTGCAAGATTGATTCTCTCTCCCTCGATAACACGTACAAAGTCAACAACTTAAACAGGTCCAGAGGTTTTGTTGGTGTTCAATTACAACTTGCACGGCGGCCTTTATTCCAAAAATTAAAACATAAAAAATTAGGAATACCGGCGGACTTTAGAATGGTCGATGAACCCTAAAGGTCAAGATGCTTATTCCATGGAATTTAAATTGACAACTATAAATAAATATATTATACAGATGATGCTTTACCGCAGTGATTCAATCTCCACTACTCCCCTTGTTCAACAAAAAAAAAAAAAAAAAACGAAAAAGGTCTCCACTACTTTCTTTCCTCTTTAACTTAACAATTTAATTAACTAACGCTATCATTTGTCAAAAAAAATTATGACACGAGACAGCAAAAAAGATCATTCTCTTCCTCACAAAATCACAGTTAGTATGCAATATAACAAAAACTTTGACTTTAACGCTTAAATTTCTTTTTATAATACTTGTTGGACATTATGCAACTCAATTAGAACAAAAGAAGCGTTATAAGATGATACAAAGAAGAGTCTAAGAAGTCAAATTATAAATCTCACATGAAAATTATGTGCAAAAATAACATCTTATTAAAGAAAATGTGTCGGCTAAATGTAACACGATTATAAAAAAAACACTTAAACGACAGAAGAACCCCAATCAATTGACTTTATGCTTACAAAATGTACTGTTTACTTTTGTATGAGACTTAATACTTAGTTAACAAATGTACTATTGATGATTGGGAGGTATGTATTATTAACAAATTGTTGTCATTTTCTTAAAGACACTAGTTATCACTTTCAATAGTAAAATACACTCAATCTATTTTATAATTATTTTTCATAAATACATATATTTGTCTGACCTACAAATATATTTTATAGAGTTAATTTATAGAATTATTTATCTTAATTATCAACGTTGTCATTGTGTTCAATAATTAAAAATGCATAGGTATGTTGAAGTTCTCCGGATCTAGTTTAAGTGGCTTGAGGTGTTCTAATATTGTTCAACACGCTCTCTTGATGATTTGAGGTGTCTCAATATTATTCAAGCCGATCTCTTAGATGACAATTATACAAACAGTAACGACTTAAGTATTAAATATTAATTATTTCTATCGTCAAAATTCCTTAAAAAAGAAAAACTCGTATATTCTTCATGTAAAATTCTATCTACACAAGCAACAACAAATTAAAACACACTTATTCATGTACAGTGAATATGTCTAGCGATTTCTTGTACGATCATGGACGGAGCCAATGAAGGCTCACTGGGGGCAGATACCCCCACTCAAGTGATTCGTTTGTTAAATTGCATAATACAGTTATAAAATATGCACGCGTTATCTTTGAAGTAAATATAGTATCTAATATCCACAATACCTTCATACTACTTCACTCCATATCAAATATTATATGAGCATGCTGTTATTCTGTCATTCAAACCGACAAACCCCTCTCCCTTGCCTATCTATAGTAATATTTTTCTCAACACTTTGCCACTTTCCATTACTAACCTGAAATTTTTGTAACATTGAGATTGTGATACATCATCATTTGAAATTACACCTATTATCATATTGGGTAGAAGCCATTCTATAATAAGGTCTTCTTAGTTGTTTTTCAGATTGCCCCCACTAGGAGAAATTTCTAGCTTGGTCTCTGTGTACAATCCATTAACCACGAAACGACACGATAATAACAAGCTTGAATCAACCTGTTAATGAGTTGGGTTATTATCTAGTACCCCTTAACGAGTCAGGCAGGTATCGAGTCACCCATTAAGAACTAAATACGATATTATTTGTCAGATTTAGACATTAGTCATGTCAATTTCTTGCGTGAACAACTCAGGTCGTCACGGATCACCTGTTAATAACCTATTAAGATAATGAGTTTGAACGACACAACCTATTAAAATAGTCAATATGACACAAAAACAACCCGAACAAAATAAAAAACACAACCTTTTTAGGCCTAGAGTTGAAGAAATAACAATATATTCAAAATTTTCACACACCAAGACCCACTTTCGTATGCACGCGACAGATTGACCGACCGTACGCTTCAAATCTATCAAAATATTTGTTCTTCGGAGAAAATAAATCAAAACTGTTGAACAAAAATAGGCAAACGGACAATCTCCAATTATCCAGTCGGTCAATCTCAAAATTTCCCAGAAGGTGTATGATGGGCATTTACGTAAATTCGGGTTGCGTTGAAGATGTCCTAGTTTCTTATTCCTCTGTCCGCTGTCCCCAGTTCCCGCCAACAGCTGTATAAGTAGTTGACCCTTCCCAGTGCAGACGTGTACTTCTTTATCCACTTGCCGCGTACGTTGCATGGTTGATGGTTTAATAGTTTAATTAATTAATCGTAATCAATTAATCTTAATTATTTTTGTCAACGTTCTCAATCCATGTTTTTGCCACGTGTTTTGATCAAATATTACAAGTTGCTCGGCCCCTAAACTGTCGATTGATCGATTTATCATATGCCTTTTCATGCAATATTTTGTTCTTTCAAGATAATTTAATATTTAGACGTTGATTATCATTTTTAAATTTCAGCCAGATGCTATCGAATATTGGTGATTCTTTTGATGAATTTCCAACACTTCATGATCGTTAGACAAGTTGGAATAAGAATTTAAAGATCCTCAACAATATCAGTCTTAGTCGACTTCATTTGGCTTTTGTTTTGCAGGCGAGCTGTATAAACACAATTCTGACTTCTAAGTCGTCTGTATATGAAATGATAAATTGAGTTTAAAAAAGCACCAAAGAACATGGCACGCCGTTTTTTAACGAAATTTGACAGAAATGGTACGTTTGTACAAAAATAGATGAAAACTATGCAATAAAATTACCAAAAACAATTTTTGAAGTGGTAAAATTGTGCAAACCCAATAATCCACTCCACATAGTGTTTGTGTAGTTTTCCCAACGTTCCAAGACATCTCTAGTATACACGTAATGTTAGGCTTGGGAGTGTTGTGAAACTAATTATAGAAGTGTGAGAGAGAGGGCGGCAAAGAGAGAATTCTCCAGGTATGAGAATTATATCCTCATCCTTTGATGTTGCACTTTTATTTATATCAATCATGATGTTTTTTTTTTTTTCGCATTAAAAGTAACACCAACATACGAGGATTTGATCTCTAAGTCCTAGAATTTTACTTTTAAGTTACATCACATTTTTAACTAATAATTATTGACGGATTAATTTATATGAAAACATTATATTTACATTACATTTAATGAATTTTGCATAGTGGCATATATGCACAACCTCACGCGGTAACGCCCATCCAATAGTTTTTGGATCCTAATGGCTCATTATTTGTTTATTTTTCTTCATTTTTATATTCTAATTTAAATTTCTTTGACTATTGATGATGGAGATCCCTAACCATAAATAAATAAATATCTAGATTTTCAGACTCATAAATAAATATCTAGAATTTCCAACCACCTTCCGTGAACTAACATTTATGCACGCGCTCACGCAAGTCCATAATGCATTTTTTGAATCACGACGTGCTACACGTGACTTACACATTTTAAATGTATTTATATGCATGAATTGACAAAAAGAAAGTCAAATATTGGAAGTAAATAAATAATCTTAGATCATATCAGAAGAAATCCCTTACTGTAGATAATATCGTTTGTTGCAAAAAAAAAAATCATTTGACAACTTATTTAATCGTGTGCGAAAGACCTTTTTTTATAATCGACATTACCCCGGCTATCAAGATGTTTTGAATGTGTTTAAAAATAGATAAAATAATATTTAATGAACAACTAATAGAATTACATTATTGCTATCACATTGTGAGATACTAATTATAATAAAAAAAATATACAAAAAAAATTAATTATTAAAAACAAAACTATTAAAATGCTGAAAATACCCCTACTGTATTTGATGCATTATTTTGGGTTGATTTTGAAGTTTTTTTTTATTTGAGGGGCATTTCTGTCCAATAATTTTTGGTGAAGCTGGTGACATTAGAAAACACTATTCATTGGGCTTGTTGGCTTTATATATAAGATTTGACAGCATTAAAGTTTTTCAATTCATAAACAAAAAAATAAAATGCCAACAGAAGGGAAAAAAAAAAAGTAAAATATGTAATGGGGTCATGGTCCATAAGAAGTAGAGATTATTCAATATGCAAAAACACGACATGCACAAGTCTTTATAATATAAGTAGTTAGATACTTGAAGAAAAAAAAAATTAACCACTTATACCATGACACTTGGTGTATCGGCTCATGTTCCTAGTATACTAAAAAATTTGTCCATTAGAAGAAGGCTAAGCGCACTCTAAGTTACTAAGTACAATTTATTTTCTTGTATTTATTTAAAAGTAATTATGCTTATGCCTTATGTTATGCGGTTCATCTCTATTGAGTCTCTTTTGCCCTAACAAATAACTATTTAACCCTCTAATGTTGTCAGACTAATAAAAAAGAAGATATCGAGAAATTCCAAGTGAATTGAAATTCAAGAAAATTAGGTTATTGACATGCCCCAACACCGATATTCCCACATACTAGGGTAGGCACGTGTTGGTCGACACTCGAAGGTGACGAAGCCATTTTGAACATGCTTGCCAATAAAAGATATGTAATTAGCAAGATTAAGCCAAAGTAGGATCATGTTCAAAGCATACAATTAACTAAGAATAATATGAAAGAATTACTAATAAAAGATACAAACAAGGGAATGAAACCTGTACTAAGAAGACTCGAGGATACCTATGTCGAAATGTCCTGACACCTAGACACCCTCGGACTCACCGATGTTCCATTGCAAAATCAAGGCCCAAATCTCGTCGGGTTTGGGGTGAAACATGAAGAAGGAGGGTTGGGGAGTGGGTTCTAGGTGGTGGATCGAAGAAATTCGTTGGAAAAACAGACAAAAATCACCGAAATTGGCTACCTAGAACCGGGTTGACGTTAGGTCAGACCGGGTCATTTGGAATCCGATGATCCTCACTTCTCTCCCTTCCCTTCTTTCTTCTCCTCCTCATTGGTTCACTCTCTTACCTCCTTTTTTTTTTCTAATTGGGCATCACTCTCCTCCTTTCTCCTCTCCCATCCGTCCATCTCTCTCCTTTCTCTTCTCCACTCATCATCACAACCATGCACGTGGCTCAATCAGATTGCTCTAGAAAATCTGGAGCCTTCTAAAGTGTATATTAAATTTACTAAAATGCCCCTAACATTAAACGTTAATATCTCATTTGTTATAACTCCAAAGTACGTTCCATTTGCGCCCACGCTTTCATAGTGACGAGTACTACATGAATATGCCCAGGGAACAAATCTTATGCAACATGACAAGGCAGCCAACAAAAGTCAATGTATTTGCCTCAAAGGGTATTTTCGTAATTTCATGTTTAAAAATTATAAAAGCCGTGATTTTTGGGGATGGGTCGTTACAGTTATGCTACCAACAAATAACTATTTACCCCTGTAACATTGTCGAACTAATAAAAAAAGATACCGAAAAATTCTAGGAGAATTGATATTCAAGAAAATTAGGTTTGACTACTTCATTTCACTTAGCAGCCCACAACGCACCCAAGTTTCTGGAAACCTCAATTTGTAAACACACACATATATACAATGTACGGACCATGAATTCAAATTTTAAAGTATTTTTACAATTCTGCAGCCTGCAAATGGTTCGAATTTAGGATAATTTATGCGGAAGTTGAAGATATTATTGGTTTTTGCTTGACCTACAGGGTAGGGCTTCAAAGTTGATGTCTGCAGCCTTCAATTTCAACTTTTCAATTTTTGAGTGGTCAAACTGACTCCACCAAATCCGATATTATCAGGAAATATCAAGGCTCCATAAAATTGAAAAATAAAATAAAATAAAGAATAAAATAGAGAGAAAAACAGAAAATGGGTTTTGCCTTACTGGGCCACAAGGATTTGACAGAAGAAAATAAAATCGGGCCCACATTGTGTGGGTGAAGTGGGTTGAGCCCATCTTAGCTATTACCCAAGTCCATGGATCCACCTTTATGCGGATGAAAAATATCTCTAACAAATGGGTAATAAAAGACCCATTTACAGCTTTCACTAGGTTGGGCCTGCCAGGCTTGGAGATTTTGTTGTGTGTTTTTTGATATAAGGGTTGGAGAACCGAACTCGAAATTTCAAGTTCAAGTTGAATGCTTTTAACTGACTCAGTTATTAATCTTTTGCATAAACTCAATTGATATGTGTGAGAGAGAGAAATCGAATCAATCTTTGTAAATGTTTGAAAATACATAACCATAGGAAAAATTACAAGAGCAAGACCGCGTTTAGCAATAGCCACTCTTATGTTGCCTAATATTTACGCTTGAGTTTCAGATGTATCGTAAAAATTTTGTTTTTCATACAATTTTTTGATATTTGAACAAACCAACCATCTTATTAAATAACGAAAAAAGTGAAGTGTTTTTTTTATTCAAGGGAAAAATACATATAGAGAAATGTTTTTGACATTTTCAATCATCGTGCATTATTTTTTTATTTTGACATTTAAATTGAATAAACTGAAAAAACGAAAAAGAAAAAAAAGAACAAAGATACGTAAAAGAAAAACCTTTTCAGTGGGAGACCAACGGTTCTCGAATTGCATTTTCTTCTGTTTTAGCGGGTCCAAGCCGCCGCCATAGGCTTAACGGGTAGGCCCAAAGTTCCAACCTTTTGCTTCGTCCAAGCTGCCATCTTCCACGTTTTGATTCGATCCTACTTTTTCACACTTGTCTTCAACCTCTCCATTCGCCAACTGATCCTCTTACATCTCCATCTCTCTCTCTCACAAGCAACCCCAATGGCGGAATCCAAACCTGGACCAGCTCAAGCTCCACCTGGTACGATTTTTCCAACACTGTGATATCTAAATCTCGTCGTAATCCCGAAACCCATTTGTTAGATTTTTCAGTTTCTTCTTTTTTCTTGAAGAATTATTGAAAAGATCGGTTTTTTCGTGGTGGGTTTTGGATATTATGTGCGGAAATTGAGGGGTGTGGTCAATTTGGATTTTACAGGATTTTAATAGACTTTTTTTAAATGATAGGTTTCAAAGGATTTTAATAGAGTCTACATTCTATATGGATTTCAACAGATTTATATGGATTTCTGTTATAGATTTTTATGAATTTGTATGAACTTGTCTCGTGGATTTCTTTGGATTTCTAAACATCATCAAACCAATATGAACATGATACTCAATCATTTATCTTTCTTTATTTTCCGACCCAACTTGTAAACATCACCGAACCTTATGTAAAAATTCTAACTTACATCAAAACATTGACCCAGCGTGTAGAGATTCGAATATAACAATAGTCGAGTGTATTAATTTGTTAAATTGGCAACAATGGGTATATATATATATATTCAATTACAAGGCTAAACTCTTTTGGAAGCAATTCTGGTTTATTCACTCCAACTTTTGATGAAATTGATGAATCATAAGAATGCTGAGGTCACCAAAAATGCTCTGCTTGGTATCCTCTTTTCCCAGGTACCAAGTATGTGAGCTTTTTGCAGGCTTAGAGATGTTTATGAAGGAAGAGGTAGCGCTGTCACACGACTCTTTGGTTAATTGAAAATTCATTTGTTGCTGTGTTAAATAAATATGGAATTGCAGAAAGGGATAACAAAAATATGAGTGACCAGAGAGAGAGCCTTAGAACTGGAACTTCGAGACCCGGCCAGTTGTTGGAATTGGCTGTGGGGTTTTGTGTTAAAGGGAAATGATGAGACGACACAGTGATGGTAATGAGCGGTTTGAATGCAGTAGTGAGGTTTGTATGCAAGAGATAGAAAAGTCAGTTTGAGAGAGAAACTTGAAAAGAAATCCTAGGGTGGAGGTGGGATTCTTTATAGTCTTTGTATGTGTAAAATTCACTCACAAATCCTACAAAATCTCTTACTTAATGATATCCTTCAAAATCTGTGACATTTTGAATACCTACAGATATGCACCTTGGATTTTAAATCCTAATTGACCACCCTTGGATTTGGATGTATTCTTTTAAATCCTGTTAAATCCTACTTTGACTACACCATGATTTCAAAATCTTTTAAAATCCTCTCTTAACATCCTAATTGACTACATCCTGATTCTAAAGTTTTTTAAAATCCTTTCAAATCTTAATTTGACTACACCCTCCTGAATATTTTGGATCTAATTAGAGTTTGGGATTCGATTATTTCTGCAGATTATAATGTGTTTGTGTAGAACATAGGATTAATTGTTTGATTAATGGGGTGAATTTCTTGTAAATCTCGAAAATTCGTCACAGATAAGGAAGTAAAGGCGCCTAATTTGATTGAAAGAGCAAAGGAAGAGACGGGGGCAGTGTTGCACACTGACAAAACACATCATGATCATAAGGAAACTCATGGATTGCATGACGATATCGATGAGAAAACCCCACTGGACGATGTCAAAGCTCCGAATATGTTCGAGAGGGCGAAGGAGGAGTTTGAGGCCATAGTTGAAGCAATCCATCCCAAGCAAGAGTCTCCCACTTATGGAAAAATGTTGGTTTTAGTTTGCCCCTTTGAACAAATTGGAAATCTGAACGTAGGATGAAATTGGCCTTTTGATGTGCTTAAATCTTCACCTCATTGCGTTTGTTCGTTTAATTGCAGGGACGAAAGCAAAAAGGACTCGAAGAAACAGGAAAAAGCTGATTCTCTACCCGGTATGAAACCATGACAATGTTGCTTGTATGAGATGGTTTCTCAGAACTTCTGCATCGGTTTCCATTAGTAGAACTAGCTGTTTTAAGAAGATAAAGGGTAAAAAGAAAAAAACAATATGCTGTAGTTGTCCTTGTAGTCCTCGACGCTCACCTTGATGGTCACGTTGGGTTTCACTTGGCTGTTTTAAAATTCGATCGTAAACCTATTTTCCTTCCTTTTATTGAGCGTCCCAGGCTTCGTCTTGGATGGATTGTGGTCAACACTTTTCTGTGTTTGTATATAGTTTGTTCAACGTGCTAACTCTTAAGTTTAATATTCTAGTTGTTAAGGTCCTCATAATTATTTTCATGCTTGCAATCTTCTCCATTCGACCAAAAAGAAAAATGAAATCTTTTCTGTTCGTGGCACGCTGGCTGAATGTTGTTTGCAGAGAACTCTTTAAAGTCAAAGTTTGTGTCTTCTTAGTTCTTAGTTGATGTTTGCAGGAAATCATGCCAAGACATCCAATTTGATTGATAAAGCCAAGCAAAAGATTGAGACATTGATGCACCATGAGAAGTCGCCAAAGAATCATGATAACGAAACTCCTGAGAAGTCACCGAAGTATCATACTAAAGAAACTCATGGAAGGAGTGATGACATTGACGAGAGTATCCCAACCGATCATGTTAAGGCTCCGAATGTTTTTGAAAGAGCGAAGGAGGAAATCGAGGCCATTGTCGAAGCAATCCATCCCAAGAAAGAAGAGAAAACTTCGGTTTCCACTCCTAAGAAGGAAGGTGGGTTTGGGACTTAATAGGAAGAGAGTTGGAGAAGATGTGCTCCCCTCATGGGAACAAAGATATAGGTGTGAATATTTTGTCAAAGTTGTGATGCTTCATCGTCATTCTTTTCTGCCCGATGACAAATCAGGATATACATGTAAAATTGTGAGATCATTTGATTACTCAAGTTTCTTTATGGAATTTATGTGCATTCTATATCCTTATCACGTCAGCCTCATTCGGAGTCAAGGATCGGATTTGATTGCATAACTCACTAGATTTAGTGTATGCTGAATGAAGAAATTGAATACTAACTTCTAAATTTTGTCCAAGTTGAAAGTAGAGTCGTGAAGGAAACTTATTGGTTCATATTCTCACGCTAATTCATCTGCAGCCTTTAACTTGGACAAAAATTAAAAGTTAAATCCATATCTTATTTCAACATATATTAAATATAGTTCCGTTATCCAACCCAATTCGATCCTTCAAACCAAAGGAGGTCGATATGTCTCTTCATCTTCAACCAAAATAGGAACAAGATGCGGGATCTCATGAGCATCAATCGGCCCTTCACTGAGGACCATTGATTGTTGTGAATCTCACACGTGGTGAGGTTGCCACCGCCATTTCATCTTCAACCAAAATTACCATATCTTCCCTACAAATCTTTATGAAAAAATGGCCTCACAAAGCAACGAGACCTTGCCTTTTATACACGGCAGAGCTAGAGTGCTACACCACTACCTTTGTAGCAATAAATTAGTGCTAAAAAACATCGGCACGACTCACAAGTACAGTGGAAGGTCGGAAACAGAAATTTAAAATTAAATATAAATAGTATTTACCGAAAATTAATCGTACAATGTACGATAAATGAACATGATTACACGATTTTCAAGATCCCTAGAAAAGGATCCCGCGAGGATCCTTTACCCAAATTATAAACCAGCAAAGCCTGCAGAACCGTGTTCATGACGATCGTCCGAAGACTCCGACACCACGAATGATGCCATGCATGTGCCATCGGTGACATAAAACCGAAACCCTGAAGGCGAAATTGGCGTTTTTATCCGGATTTCCATGCCCTCACGCAACAGCAAATTCGACTTCAAAGTCGAAAACTTATCTGTATTGGGATGGACGATGGATGCTGATTGAAAACGGCAAAATAGCGCGTTATTGATTTGAAATACTGTACACTAATTAAACACATTCTTCTCATCCGTCGCAGTCCCAGCGCAATACAACTTTTTTGCATCCTTCAACTTGGGACTTGTGTATTGTGACCGATCATAATTTACGTATGGACAAACAAGAAATCGTTAATTGTTACGAAATGTAATAAAAAGCGAACTTTGATCAGCAATTTTTTGCGTAATTGGGATTTTGTTTTCAATGATCGTTACCCATGTTCACTGTTCAGTGTTCACAGCTGATGCTGATGTTGATCATCTCTCTCTCTCTCTCTCTCTCTCTCTCTCTCTCTCCTCTGACTTCAAAACTCGTGTATTTAAACAACTCCGATTCGACCTGATCAATCCACCAACTTACTAATTCTATCACCCGACTCAGTTCTCGTCTTCCCAACAGTGAACATGGGTGACGATCACTTCGTTAGCAACAGCCAATCCAACAGCAGCAACATCTCCTGCATTGCAGCACCCCACAACCGTCCCCCTCCCGAGATCTCCGCCCTTGCTCGCCTCTCCGACAACCTAGAATCGATTGTCGACTCCACAGACTTTGACTACTTCCCCGATGCCAAGATCGTCGTCAACGCCGGCCGGGAAGTTCCCGTCCACCGCTGCGTTCTGTCTGCGAGGAGCGAGTTTTTCAAGAACGTGTTCTCGGCGAAGGACAGAGGATCATCAGCAGCGTCGTCGTCGTCGTCGGTTGCGGCTCCTCGGTTTGAATTGAAGGAGCTCGCCAAGGAATACGAAGTCGGACTGGACGCGCTCCTCGCCGTTTTGGGGTATTTGTACAGCGGGAAGCTCAGGTCGCTGCCCAAAGGCGTTTGCGTCTGCGTGGACGACGCTTGCGCACATGTCGCTTGCCGGCCGGTGGTTGATTTCATGGTGGAGGTTCTGTATGCTTCTGCAACTTTTCAACTCTCTGAATTGGTCTCTCTTTATCAGGTAAAAACTTCACTACAACGTGTTAGTACAATCTTTGTTAAGACTTCTATACTTTGTCGGACTGTGAATTTGAACTCGTTACTAGTCCGATAGAAAGTCGAGGTTCACAGACCATAGAAATACGTTACGTGACATGTTGTCATACTATTAGTTTGAACTATATTCATTAATAACTAGTCCAACCGGTGCTATACTTATTTCTTGATTAATTAATGACTGAGATTCACAGTCTGACAACATTAACATGTACGTTCACTAATAATTTGGCGGATGAACATTTGGATACTTTTTAGTGTTTATATACTTACATAATAGTGAATGAAGTTTAAATTATTAACTAAGGTCGAAATTTACAGCCTGACAACGTAAACATATTATATAGGTGTGTATAATAGTGAATGACGTTTATCAGCTTTCGGAAACTTTGTTGTTAGTTTGTTTTGTATTGATTATTAATTTTCAGAGGCATCTGCTAGATATTCTTGAGAAAGTCGTCATAGATGACATACTGGTGGTGCTGTACGTCGCCAACATGTGCGGCAAAGCTTGCGAGAGATTGGCGGGGAGGTGCGTTGAGATGATAGTCAAGTCCGACGCCGACGTTGTAACTCTTGAGAAAGCCCTGCCGCAACACTCCGTGAAGCAGATTACTGATTCCCGCCTGGCGCTCGGCTTGGACAGGCCTCAACAGTTCCACTCTGGTGCTAGTACTAGTCATTTCCCAGATAAACACACCAAGAGGATACACAGGGCTTTGGATTCGGATGATGTCGACTTGGTGCGAATGCTGCTGAAAGAAGGGAATACCAATCTCGACGACACCTTTGCGCTGCACTACGCTGTCGCATACTGCGATGCAAAGACCACAACGGAGCTGCTTGATCTTGGAATTGCATATGTTAATCGTAGGAATCCGAGGGGGTACACTGTGTTGCACGTTGCGGCGATGAGGAAGGAGCCTAAGATCATTGTGTCCCTTCTCACGAAGGGTGCTCGCCCTTCGGATCTTACGCTGGATGGGAGGAAAGCTGTGCAGATCACTAAGCGGCTTACCAGGGCTGTGGATTTTTTTAAGTCTAATGACGAGGGAAAGTCTTCTTCCAATGATCGCTTGTGCATAGAGATTTTGGAGCAAGCGGAAAGAAGGGATCCGTTGCTTGGAGAAGCCTCGCTTTCGCTTGCTATGGCTGGCGATGATCTGCGCATGAAACTTTTGTACCTTGAGAACAGAGGTAGTTTTCGCTTGCTGTGAGTGTTAGTTTGCTCTTCTTTTTAACTTGCATTAGATTGCATTTGCTTATAAAATTTGACTGTGTAGTTGATTGATTGTTTCTTATCAGTTGGACTTGCAAGATATCTGTTCCCCATGGAAGCCAAGGTTGTAATGGATACCACCCAAATCGATGGCGATGCTTCTGAGTTTCCGAAGGGTCTGGCCAGCTCTCAGAGGACGACGGTGGACTTAAACGAGGCACCGTTCAAAATCAAGGAAGAGCACCTTAGCCGTCTACAAGCTCTATCTCGAGCTGGTAAAATCTTGTTTCACAACACAAAAAATTTCCAATCGCTTCTTTTCTTTGTTTGATTCGAACTGGCATAACCCACATCCGCTACATTTTCCGTAATTTTAGCTTTCGAGTTTCAGCAATTGAAAATTTTCATTGCCTTACCAACACGTTATCTGTTTTTATGAGCAGTGGAAATAGGGAAACGCTTCTTTCCCCGGTGCTCGGAAGTACTGAATAACATCATGGACGGCGATGACATATCACAGATTCAATACACCTGGAACGACACGCCAGAATTGCGGCTCACGAAGAAACGAAGGTACATGGAACTCCAGGAAGTACTAAGCCAGGCATTCGACAAGGACAAAGAGGAGTTCGATCGGTCTGGAATTTCTTCTTCTTCGTCTTCCACATCGATAGGCGTGGTGAGGTCTAATGGTGGTACGATCACCAGTCAAGAAATAAGACAGTTTCTGCCAAACCTGAGGCAGAATGTTCATAGGAAAGCTTCTCGTAGCGATGATTTCGTGCTTGCTTTCTGTTCGATTTAGATCGTATTTCTGTGTTAGAACATGTTCCTTTGTTAATATCGTAATCATGTTCTTGGTTAGTATGAGATGAATTTTGTAGCAATGGCTCTTGAACCATGTCCCGAGTTGCATTTCCGTCTCTGAACTCTAATAATAGTTATCCTCGTCCTCCAATTGACCCCGATCCCACCCTCGGTCACGTGCATATATCAATTGTGTCCCGACGATGAGACCAGTTCCAAAAAATACTTGGCTCTTCACACGTAAGAAGTCAAACATATAAATCAAAATGCGATTTGCGTTACCCTTTGATTTACAGTTAAAAAGGGAATGTAAGGAGCTAAGCAGTGTTCATTTCCGGACATCTCATACGGACAGAATGAACATAATTATATTATACAGAGTTTACGTTCTTAACCAAGCTGTGCAATATCAGTACAGCGGAGAGAAATATTTACAAAACTTACAAGATTAAGGAGTTCATGATTCACCTGTGGTTGCATCTTCATTCTCCAATTCCTACTGTAGAAGCGAAAAACCCAAAGCAGATTATATTCGTCCGCAGTCACGGCACAAACACAATAACATTGAAGAGAAGATAGATTCTCCCTGTGAAATTCAAGGCATTCAGCCAATGCAACCAGCTTGCTCCACCAAGGAGTGACTCACATATGCACTCCAATCGCACGGCTCGGCAATCAAATCCTCCAATTCTTGGTAAAAACTGGAGTCGTTCAGTGCACATTCATCATTGGAAACTATATTTTCTTCCAGAAATTTATCGGACATGTCATCATAAGCAGAGGGCACATCCTCCGAGCTGCTTGTTCCGGCCATGAAACGGGGATGTAGACCTTGACCTGCATTACATGATTTATCAACCATGGGAGATGATAATGGGGTTCCATTTCGTTGGGAAGTGATTCCCTCTGAGATTTGTTCAGCAAGCGCAGTTTGCATAGGCACTGGTTCTTCCTGAACTTGATTTCTACAATCAAAACTGAGACTGTCATTTATCCACTCATCAAAGCTTTCAATGCCTTGGGCCGGAGGCAATCTCCTTCTCTTGCCTAGAACACCACCGTCCAGCTCTCTCTTTATCATTCTCTTCTGCATTAGCTGCTCCACAGAGATGGGATTCACAGCGGTTTTGGTGAGGAAAAAGAGCATCCTTTGCTGCTTACACAAAGAACTACGAATTTGTTGTTGAAACGCAGTTAGTTGATGCTGCGAGTACTTTTGCTGTTGCCTGAGATTCAAGATTTCCAATCTCAAAAAGTCCTGGTCTTTCTTTAGGGACTCAATTTCGGCTTCCAACCCGGGTTTGGGGTAATCGGCAGAGACCACATTCGGCTTCTTGTTGTATCTGCGTCTTCTCTTGATGTTCTTCAGCAAGTGCCTCTTCCCTCCCTGAAACCTTTCATTTGCAAACTCCCACCTGTCCGGATCAACCTTTGTGAACCCCTAAAGACATAATATTCAACAACATCCATCAAAAACTCAAAGATTATGAAAACTTAATCATAAAAAAGTAAGCTGACAAAAATTATATAAGCATTCAAACAAAAGGTTACAAATTAGATGAAGAAAAATGGACATGCAACAAACAAATCACAGAGGAAAAATTCACAATTTTGCAAAAATACCAGCCGAATGAACATTTTCTCTTTATTAAGACGATATTCTAAACTATTTTAATATACAGGATTCAACACCTCTTTGTCCTTCATATATTAGTAAAAATCAAGTAATTAAAAAAAAAAAACTCGAAGAAAAAGATGGAAAATTTACATAAGTGTTGAGCTGGCGAATGAAGCTTGAGAAATTGTTGTGCTTGAAGTGTTTGGGCAGCAGAGTCCTGGAGAATTCGTACAAATCCCAAACAATGAAGCTCTGCCGAGCATCACTCCACGAAACAATCGAATCGGTTTCCGGGTCGTCCACCATCTGAAAAGTCTTGTTCAAGAACGGCGGTGGTCCCGCCTCGCGCAAACCCTCCATGGGTTTAGGCAGCTCCATGGAAGAAGACGAAGAAAGCGACCCAAAATCACCACCGCCACCGCCCGCGTTGATGGTCTTGCAATGATCTCCACCCTCTAAGTCATTGTCCACAACCACAACATCTACAGTTTCTTCTTTCACCTTTAGCAATTCGGCCGCTGGGTTCGGCGGAGCGGTGGAGGAAGAGGAAGAGGATGACCGGTCAAAGTTTCTGCCTTTGGAAAAAGTCACTGCCTTTTCCTCTTTTTTCAGGTCAGTCACTTCTTCTTTGGCTCGATCAAGCTCGTTCTCAGCTTCTTCTAGATTTTTGCTGGGTTCTGTCAACTTTGTTTTGGACGGCAATGGCAGGGAAGGCCTCCCACCGCCGTCTCCACCGCCAGAACCGCCACCAACGTCAGGATCCACCATTTTTCTTTTGAATAAGAAACAGGGTATTTTGCAAGTCTGGAAAAATGGCGTTTAGTGAAAAATTGCAGAGATTTATAACGGAAACAGAGAAAATAATGTACCAAGAGGCAGAGATTTCTGTTTAATTTGGGGTTTTTTCTTCTTTAAATTTTTGGATTTTAATTGAATTTGCCTCTTCACCCCTTCTGGTTTTTTCAGTAGGTAAGAGAGTGTGTGTGTGTGTGTTCACATAAGAAACTGCTGGAGTATTGCCACGTTTCTGCACTTTTTCCATTTTCCTCTACTTTCTAGAAACTTCCTCATGACTCCAACTTTTTTATTTTCTTGTGATCACAAAACCCTAATTTTTTTTAGTAAGAACGATAGTGAGTTAAATAATTAGTTGTTAAAATAAAAGAAATTGGTACTAATTGAATCTACCTACTATGTGTAGGCATGATTGTTTTTCGGTACTGCGATGAAGCGTCATCCACCACATAACCCTAATTCTAAAACTAGATATAGAGTGTTGAATCACTTATGCCCATTTCGCTCACTTACATAGAATGAGTTCCCGTTGTTGTGTTCTCTTAGTCTAATACTGCATTGTATGTGAACAAAAATTACACATAATAATGCATTATTGGATCAAGATGTTACGTAATGATGAATTCATTTCATGTAAGCTGTTTTTGAATTTGTGAGGGGACCTCTTAATCTAAGTATTAAGTGTGAGATTTGATCATTGATTTAAATTGGAGTCTTTGAACATCTAAGCACAAGAGTTGAAACTTAAGGAAAGGGATCCTCTCCGGATTCCTTCCTCCTAATCCACCAAGTCCAGGATCTGGGCCATTAAAATTTGCTCCAACGGCTAAAGTTATTATAACTTTTAAAGTGAGTCCCTATTTGTAGCCGTTGGATCAAATTTTAATGGTCCGGATCCCTGAATTTGGTGGATTAGGAAGAAGGGATTCAGAGAGGATCCATTTTCGAAACTTAAAACTCAAGTCTCTGAACATCTTGGAAATAATTCTTATGCATATCAATGGGTAGAGCTTAGAAAGGATCACGGTAACACTGTGAGCAGTCGCACACAATGTATTTTGTCGTTCGCTCGCCTATATTGCACCATGAGAAGAGATTTTTGGTGGGTTTATCGACCAACTAGACCAACCTACTCGACATGGGTTGAAATTTGGATTGTGTTGGGCTAAAGTATTATTAATCCGGTTAAAATCAACCTCTTTGAAAGACAATAATTAAAGATGCATGTATATTAAATAGATTTATACATTAAATTCAGTAACTTTTAAATGCACTTGTTTATTAATGTTTGATTAAATGGTGAAACTTTTGATATAACATCAAAATCAAATGACTATGAGTTCGTTTGAAAACGCTTTTAAAATGATTGAAAAACTTTTGATGAAACTGATTTTGGGTTCCAAAAGCACTTCAAATGCTTTTTGGAAGAAGCACCAAATATGTGCTCTTGCAAGTGTTAGAATTTTTTTTATTTAGATCGACGGGTTGGGGGGCCTCACTCTAACGACACAAATACTGTCTCCAACTTTACCACCTACTCAATCCATAAGGTGTGGAGTTTTACCACAAAAGGCATTGATATTAGTTTGAGTGGGGTAATCCCATTTAAAGTTATTGCTTTTCTTTACCCCCACCAATGTGGGGCTGCTAACACGCCCCCTCATGTGTAATCCCATTTAGTGGTTCACACATGGAGTTCCACACATCTGCAATTAAAACTCAGATGTCTGCTTTAATGAAGTCCAAACTTGTTTTCAATCTTTTTCAGGAAGTGACTCTTAATAACTTAGAGGCTGACTCTATGTTAAGAGTCCAAGCTTGTTTCCAAGCCACACTTCTTGGTAACAAGCTCGTTGGTTTACACGGATCCGTAACCGTGGGCTCTGGTACTATGTTGGAATTTTTTTTAGATCAACGGGTCCAGGAGGCCCTACTCTAACGACACCGATACTATCCCCAACTTTACCACTGGCCCAATCCGTTAGGTGTGGCGTTTTACCACAATACACCTCGGTATTAGTTAGTGTGGGGTAATCATATTTAAAGTCATTGCTTTTCTTTACCCCAACAGATGTGGGACTTCTAACAGCAAGAATCACTTAAAGTGTTTTTCTAAGATTCACTTGAATTTTACTAATAATTGATTTCAAAAACATCTTCACCAAAAGTGCTTTAAGTATTTTAAAAGCACTTCCACACAAACCCTATATTAGGAATAAGAAAGAAACTAATCAAGCTCAACACGTGGAACTCCTTCCAGACTAAGAATAATTTAAGAGGATTAAGTTGCCAAATTTCTTAAGTGACAATGAACTTGAACAAGTCGAACCCAAGACTGTTGAGTTGACCAACAGATTGAAGTCTGAATCAACTAACGCACCCGGCGTCGGCGACAATGTGTTTCTGTTTAGAATTTTTGTCTGAATTAGATGATTACGTGGCCATTTCTTGACTGTTAGATTTGCTTTCGATAGTCTGTTTGTCTTTATTTGCCAAGTAAGAGCTCTGCTAACGTAACTTGAACGTCCACTCAATTGTTTGTCTTTATTTTTCTAAGACACAACCATCTTCAAGGTGGCCCTTGTAAATCCTTTTGCTAAATCCTTTTGCTAAACATTGTCACAAATGTTTTTACTTGGCAGAATACAGCTTGCTTTTTGAAAAGTAGTTTAAAATAAGTAATGCTATTCATATTATGATTCATATTATATTTTTATATTATATTTGATATGAACGGTTACATTATTTGAAAAATTTGTAAAACACAAGGAAATGAATGAGAAATACTCCTCATATACCATAATCATCATTTAATTAACTAGTTTTTTTTAATTATTAATTTATTAAATAATGAACTAAATTTAAAAATCTGATTAATTCAAATGATATAATTGTCCACATCAAATGCAACCTAAATGGTATGAAAATGTGGTACAAAAATATGATACGAATAACATTAATCGTTTAAAATAGGTCCAAGTCCTATTGGGCCAAACCGGTTTTTTAAAACTGGACCCGAAGGAGCTCCTAGATTTCGGATCCTAAACATTCTAATTTCTAAGTTCCTTAAACCCTAGAAAGCAGATAAGCGCAGTGTCAGCTTATTGAATTTTCCCAGGCGATCGTTTGGTGGAGCTGAGAAAATGGTGGTGAGGATCCGATTGGCGAGGTTCGGATGCAAAAATAGGCCGTTTTATCGGGTCATGGCGGCCGATAGCCGATCTCCGAGAGACGGCAAGCACCTCGAAGTCTTGGGCTACTACAATCCCTTGCCAGGTCTTCTCTCTTTTCTGTTTCTGTGTATTGATTCTGTAATTTTATATATATTTTTTTCAAACGTTTGTGGGTTCTAATTGCATTATGTTAATTAGAAACCATAGAAATATTGCATTTTTGTATTGGTAAGGCGGAATTTGATGAATTCCGATCAAAATTCAGATGGATAGTGTTTGGCTGCCTAGAAAATGTTGGAGAAGTGATACCTAACACAGTTTGGTTATGAATATTCAGAGAAAGCTATTGGGTCTTTTGTCATCTGAGTAATATAGTTAGTGATATGCTGATGCTCTGTGACTTTTATGAAATTTTACAGGCCAAGATGGTGGAAAACGAATGGGCCTGAACTTTGAAAGAGTGAAGTAAGTGGCTTTTGGCAATGCTTCATTTCGTACGTTAATTATCGGTGAATTGCCTTAGTTGCACTTCGTTATCTAATTGCGTTTTTTGGTCCCGGGTTATTCAAAATCAACATTTTTAGCTTTTGTTTTCGGAAGTTATCAGGTATTGGTATGAAAGATGTTCAGAATATGCAAGGTTATAAAAGACGCTAGGCGTTAGTCGGGCGGCGAGCTGGGTCTAGTGCCTAGGTGCCTAGGCGGATTTAAGTAAATATACTATATTTCATGTAAATAAGTGTTTGTTTATACTTAAAATATGTATAATTTCATCAAAAACTACAAAATAGAATGACATATATATTATTAAGTATTGGAACATAATGAAAACATGGGGAACAAACATATAATGTGTGTTTATTTAAAGTATTCAACAAGTCTCTTACAAGATGGTGGAAAACGAATGGGTCTGAACTTTGAAAGAGTGAAGTAAGTGGTTTTCGGCAACGCTTCATTTTGTATGTTTAATTCTCAGTGAATTGCCTTTAGTTGCACTTGTTTATCAGTTAAATTGCGCTTTTTGGTCCTGGGGTATTCAAAATCAATGTTTTTAGCTTTTGTTTTGGGATGTTATCATGTACTGGTTTGAAAGATGTTCAATATTTAGCTCTGTGAGTTGATTATATGTTTCCTATTGTTCCTCATGCATGTACAAATTATCACTTGACTGTGAGGGTTAACTTGTATAGTCTTGTGTTCATGCTAGAACTTGACGGGTGCGTATGTTATTGTGTGTAAATATGACCCACTAATGATGATGGAGGCTTATGTCTTGCGAGATATATACACAAGGAGGATATATGCTCACTGAAAAATTGTCTCATTTGGATCAAGACACTTTATTGGTAGAAATTACTGTGAGTTTGAGGTCTGGATCTCAATCGTAGGGTTGCTTGATTCCGTGCTTATTATGGGTACTCTTAAGTTGAAATTTAATGGAATTCTTTTGAAAATTTGAGAAGCGGAAACAATTCTTCCCAGGAGGCTTATGAGAGAGAGAATTCATGTTTTCAAATTAAGTTTATCTGCTGTATCCCATCAGTTTGTTCACTCTTTCGGCAGGTATTGGCTATCTGTTGGAGCTCAGCCTTCGGATCCTGTGCAGCGTATTCTTTTCAGAGCTGGGCTGTTGCCCCCACCACCAATGGTGGCAATGGGACGTAAGGGAGGGCCACGTGACACGCGACCTGTTGATCCTATGAGTGGACGGTTTGTGACTCCTGAGAAGCCAGCAGCTAGTGGTGATCGAGGGAAAGATGCGGAAAGCACTGAAAACGATGGTTAAGATGGCACAAGAATTTCCATTAAACTTCCCCAAAATTTGTAAGATCATTTCTTACTATAATCTTTTGTATTTTTCTAGGGCAAGAGGGGTTACAGGAAACGATCTTTCATATCGGATTGCAGGATAAGCAGCTTGGTATCGGTCAATTCTGAATAGCTTGGGAAGAGATACAGTCATATCTAAATAGCTACTATATTAGGCGTTAAAGAACACTACTGTATTGAATGTTTGATTTTGTTTAGTTTATGGAATGAACTTCAGCTTGTACCTGGCATCACTTCATCATCATTGTCGTTTTCAATTTTCTATATGAAATTGCAGAGATAATTGGGCTTGTCTGGGATTGCTTATGTAGAAAGCACTTATGTTATAAGCGTTTATGCTGAGAAACATGTTGAAATTTTTATTAAAAATTAAGTGCTTCATAAAGAAGCATAAGAGAAGTGCTTATCCAAATAATGCTTTTATGACCCAGAAGATATTTTAACTTTTTTGTATCAAACGCATAGGCGTTTTATGGAAGTTTTGCCAATACATTTTCTATAATTAAACATGGCATATTCATGATGTGAATAAACATAAAAACATGCCTAATTAAAATCTTTTTAACATAAAGGCTCATATAATTCGCAACATATAAGACTGTGAATATGAAACATTAATTAATTAATTATTGATTAATGAATAATTTGTTTCAACGTTCAGTTTAAGATTGACCATCCAACGCAACAAAGCATGATTTATTTGGCAAGAGAACATTACGAGTAGCGAATATTTCCTTCATCTACCCAACAATTCCAAATTCAACACCCAATTATTGTCATTGGAAGAGATACTGAGTTTAAATTTTTAAATACGAGTACCATATATTAGAAAGAGAATATTACCATATACGAATAGTGAACATTTCCTCCATCTTCCGAACAATTCCAAGTTCAATTTTAATACATAATTATTATCGTCGATGGAGATCCTAAGTTCAAATTTCACGAACCACAATATGTAGAACAAAATCGGGCCTCATTGCCACCAAACTAAGCCCAATGCCTAACCTACCTTATTGTGGGCCTCCCTTCAAAAATGAAGAATAAAATTAAATATTTTAAATTTTGGACAGCTCAGCACTACCATCCACAAAAAAGGGAAGAGAGGGGGGAGCTTGGGCTAGGTATTTAAACGAGGGAGAGAAAGGATATAACGGAGGCCACGTTTTGAAAGCCCCTTTACCCTTTTTCCTCCCCCCTCCCACCGCTTCTAGGGTTTTAGCTTTGCCGCCTTCTTCCTCCTCCCTCCGCTCCTCCCTCTCTGCAAGTCGGAATGGGCAGCGATAAGGATAACATCAACATGTCCGATCTCTCCTCAGGTTGTACTCTCTCTCTTAACCTTCTGATGTTTTGTAATCTGATGCGGTGATCTTACTCTGCTTCTGGTTTTTTTGTTTCTGAAGCTCTCAACGACGTGGATCGAGCAGGCCTCGTCAATGCTCTCAAGGTCAGTAGTCAATTTTCTCGGCAACCAAACAGACTCTTACCCTGTTAATTAGCAGGAAATTTCAATTTTACAGTTTGTTTAGCTTTCTGTCTGTTTGTTCTTTGCGGTTAAGTGTTTGTTTGGCTGATGGAGCTTGTGTTTGTGCAGAATAAGATAGAGAGTTTGGCCGGGCAGCACTCTGATATCCTCGAGAGCTTATCTCCTGCAGTCCGAAAGCGGGTCGATGTCCTTAGAGAGATTCAGGTATGATTCTCACTCGCTCTGAAGCTTGAAGTTTAGTGCTTTGATATGCTGGATTGCTCATAGTTTCATGTCTTTTCATACTTTGTTTGGTTGGTTAATCAGATTATACTCTTATTTCATTTATATGTTCTGTTTAGTTACCATTTTGATTGATATGACGGGTTTCAGTCGCATATTATAGCTTAACAATTTTTTAAAATTGGAGTTTCAGTTGCGTTTTTTCGATGGTTCTTGAAAAATACTTTGTTTGATTGACAAATTGGTTGGAGTTGTTCATTCTCTTAGTATTATGTGATGGAATATGTAGAAAGTGAATATATTATCTTGAAGTGTGAAGCACCCTAAGACTTTCTTTACTTGCAGACCCAACATGATGAACTTGAGGCAAAGTTTTTCGAGGAGAGAGCAGCTCTTGAAGCCAAATATCAGAAATTGTATCAACCTTTGTATACCAAGGTGTTCTACTGTTCTACATACTGCAGTGTTCTATATATCGTATATTCTCAAATACGAAGGGTTCATATGTGGGATGCTTCTTTCTTATTCATTTTATTTATTTTATTAAATATATTCTGTATGGCTACGTGGTTTAGTGGCTTGTCACTGCTCTACCTAAGTGAGGTAGCAGTGGCACCCCTGGCCTGAGTTAGTGTGATTGATGTCCTGTTTCCTTTGCTTATAGGTTTCTTACTATTTTGGGAATGAGGAGCTTAACTTCATTTCTTTTCATTTATTTCGTTTTAAAATAAATTGTACTGAATACTCTGCAGAGATACGAGATTGTAAATTGTGTTGTTGAAGCTGAAGGAGTCACTAATGAAGCAGCAACAACAGAAGAGGGTGAAGATTCTGAAGGTATACTCTTGATAGTTATTCAGGACCTATGTAGTTTTTATTGTGTGCAAATGTTAATCTCTTGTCTTTGCCTGCGTATTTATTTTCGCAGAAAAAGGGGTGCCTGATTTCTGGCTCAACGCAATGAAGAACAATGAAGTGCTAGCTGAGGAGGTGGTTATTGTGCATAAAGTTCTCATATTTGATGTTCATAATTACTTTGTTGTTTGTCAGCTGAATTGTTTTTTTTTTTTTTGGATTACCAGATATCTGAGCGTGATGAAGGTGCTCTTAAATATCTTAGAGACATCAAGTGGTTTAGGATAGATAACCCTAAGGGCTTCAAACTGGAGTTCTACTTTGACACCAATCCCTATTTTAAGAACTCTATCTTGACAAAGACATACCACATGATTGATGAAAATGAACCCATTCTTGAGAAAGCAATAGGGTATGTTCGGGAGCCTTGCCTTTTGCTAAATAGTTCAAGATGGCCTGTGCATCGTTGTTTGTATACTTAATTTAATACAATGTCTGGTACCTGGTGCTTTGTAGGACGGAGATTGAATGGTATCCTTCTAAATGCTTGACACAAAAGCTCCTTAAGAAGAAGCCTAAGAAGGGATCTAAGAATGCTAAGCCAATAACTAGAACTGAAAATTGCGAAAGTTTCTTCAACTTTTTCAGTCCGCCTCAAGTCCCTGAGGACGACGAAGATATTGATGAGGATGTTGTAAGACACTCTTCTTTACTATTTTTGTTTCTCTTTCAAGGTTTTTGTCCTTTGTAGTCTCTTATTTGTACCTCTTATGAACAGGCCGAGGAACTCCAAAACCAGATGGAAAATGATTATGACATTGGGTGAGTTTATAACTTACTTCTACTTGTAGACAGATTCCAGACCTTGGTACTAGTCCTAGATAGTTTGGAAATTTTCTGATTGAGTGCTTTGTTTAAAATTTTCTTCTCATATTGGCATCATTTTTTGTGTAGGTCTACCATTCGAGATAAGATCATCCCCCATGCTGTTTCATGGTATACTGGAGAGGCCATTGAGGGAGAAGATTTTGGAGACTTGGAAGAAGATGAAGATGAAGATGAAGACGAAGAGGAAGACGAAGATGATGAGGATGAAGAAGACGAGGAAGATGATGAAGACGATGAAGATGAAGCCAAAACCAAAAAGAAGGTGCAGTGTTGTAAACATTTTGATCATCTTTTCTCCTCTTGCATTCTTCTGTTTGTTTGAAGTTTGAACTGACGGTTATTATTTTTTTATGCAATTGATTCTGACGCAGACATCGGCTAGCCACAAGGTATGTTGCCTACTTGTTAAAATTCGTTCATAAGTTGAATATCTAATTGTTTTGTTGTTTCGAAAATGAACTTTTTGTTGCATATACTGAGAACACGTTACATAATGTAGAAGAGTGCAAGAGCACCAACCGGGGAGCAGGGTGAAAGGCCTCCAGAATGCAAACAGCAGTAGAATATGATTGTTTCGGAAAGGCGGGTTGAGTAGCTGTGAGTTCTCGTTGGACCTTCAGACTGTTTTAATAGAAAATGGTTGCTGGGCAGTTTTGTGTGGCCAATATATTTTTTTACCTTTTGTTTTCTTTTCCATGCTGGTTTAGGGGGAATGTGATGAAAGATGGATTGGATGTCATTGTGATTTGTTGGCTTATGTTTGAATTCGATAGACGATGTTTTTTACTAATCTATTAATGATTTGTGTAATTTTTGGCCTTTATTTCTCTTTTGATTGTCTGTATCTTGCGTTGGACATCTAAAGATGCGGAGGGCATACATGGAACGGGTTCACCAGCACGTTGTGTCGTAATTTACTAAAACAATGACGTGTTGAAAACCTTACAGTTGTAAATGTTGCTCTAGAAGATGTGGCTTTTTTTTTTCCAACTGATTGTTTCGTTGTTGGGGACATGGCAACCGGGGACTAAAGTCATCATTCTTCTTTTAGGCGCCTAAAGTTTCATCACTTTTCTTTTGGCCCCTAAAGTTTCATCACTTTTCGTTTGGCCCCTAAAAGTTTCATCACTAAAAAGGTGAGAAAAGCAATAAGGTAGAAGATCAGTTGGAAATGCAAGTACTTCTTGAAAAAGCATTTAGAAGGGTTATGGCTCGTTTAAAATTTAAAACGACGAAAGTGCATTTGGTGAAAGTTGGATTTCAAAAGTGCTTGATGTGCATTTTGAAAGAAGCAACACTTGTGTTTCTTGCATGAAACATTTTAAGTACTTGTCTAAAATGCACTTCTATTTTTACTAATGGTTACAAAAGCACTTTTATCAAAAGTGCTTTTAATCAATATAAAAGCACATCCAAACACTTATTTTCAAGAACTTGGAAGTGTTCATTTAAAAACAAGCGGAGGAATCAGGCTTCCGATTTATTAAACTTCTGTTTTTAAGGAAATTTGGATGAACTAATTTAAAAACATAAATGTAAGTTGTATAATGAGTGAATATATTATTGAAGGAATGACTTGGCCTTCATCAGAGAAAAATAGTGTCCGAGCATTTATCTATACATTCGAGGTTACAATGCCGTATTTCTTCTCTCTAAAGTCGCTTTTGTATAATAAAATAATAAAAAAAATGGAAGAAAAATTGAGTGAGATTATAGGAAAATGCCCATTGTATTTAAATCAGGGGGATCCTCTCTAAAGTCCTTAAATTATATCCGTTTATCATACATTGTGCTGTAAAAAATTATTTTTAATTTTTTTATTTAAAATTAAATATAAAAAACTGATCCAGATCCTCACAACAGGATCCGCGAGGATCCACTCTCGTATTTAAAGGGTCGTAAGCCCAAGCGGTCAAGGTCTCCACTCTCCTCCACTCTGACACTCTTTCGCTTCTCTCTGCGATGCTTGCTCCAGCATTTCAAAAAGGAGGGAAATAACCCCATAACCCTAAAACCCAGACTCTCTCTCCCCTCCCTCTCTCTCTCTTCCTCTGCCATTGCCTGATATGCATGGCCTCTTATAGTTTCGTAAATTGGTTTTCCGGTCACCTTCTACCTCTTATTTCTTCACTAATTTGATTCCGGAGAAGCTGTGGGTTGTGGAGGTTTGGAAGCTTGGAGTTCGTCACCAATGGCGAGGCTTCTCCGAAACGCTCTTTCCATGAAACGTGTCCTATTCCCGCCACAGGTTTGCCGTTTCTTCATTTGTGAAACAAGAAAGTTTTTTCCTTTTGTTTACTCAATGGCTGTCTGTTTGGTTTCTGGAATGTTTGGGAAAAATTAGTGATTGAATTAATCAAAATTATAACTTCTGAGCTTCGGGCATCTAATTTTTTGTTCGTTCTGTTTCGCAGATGGACCGGAGAGGATTGTTGGGTACATCTACCCAGTTTTACAATTTTTCTTCGAAAGGTGCTTGCTTTAAATTTTTAATTCTTATTCTTCTTGATGCTTTCAATAATTTGCATTTTGGGAAATGTTAGGGCTTGTTTGGTATCATATTTTAAAATTTTTATCATTTCTCATAATATTTCTTAAGAACTTTTCTTAAAAATAATTTTCTTTAAGATTCAAAGTCTCATTTGATATGCGATTTGAAAATTTTAAATTTTAAAACTTAAATTGCATAAAGAGATCCAAAAGGAGAGGGTTGAGGGAGAAAGAGGAGAAAGAGGAGAGAGGAGGAAAGAAAGTAAGACATGATTGGAGAAAAGAGAAAGAAGAGAGAGGATCGGAGTAGATAGAGAGGAAGAAGAGTGAGAGAAAGAACCGAGAGAATGAAGAGAGCGGATTGGAGGAGAGACAAAAAAGGTAACAAAAAAAGAGAAGGGGGAGATAGAAAGGAGAAAAGAGAGATAGATTTGAAGTGAAAGGGATGGAGGGAAAGAAAAGAAAAAAGTGAGTTTAAGTTTAAAAACTCTAAAAACTCACTTTTTTTTTTTTTTTTATAATATACTATATTTTTGAGTTAATCTTAAGTTCAGTTTTTTAAAATAGTCCTATCAAACAAGATTTTAAGGCCTAAAATTTGAAAATTGTTTTTGAGTTTAAAAAGTTGGATTCAAGTAAAGTACTGGACAGACGCTTAGATTTTATGTATATTTTTATTTGTTTCAAATGAATTTGGAGGTTTTATAACGGAGTTTTAAGTATATCAATAAATACTGCTTGTGATTGTTTAGCGAAAATAAGAGTGAAAACAGGACTGAAAAAGATAGACAGTGTTTGGTATTAAGATGTTTGTAAACTTCAATAATTTCATGGCCCCGTCCATATTATTGTGTTTAGTGAATTATCTTCATATGGCGCGGAGTTTAACCGATAGCTTTTCTAAATTAACTTGTTATATAATAGGATAGCTATTATCCATTATGTGCTGCCATAAAACACGGTTTGTGCTCCTTTTGATTTTGAAAATATTTGAAATTCTGTCTGAAGTTAGAAAGAAATCTAAGTCGGACGGAAGTGACTCCTGTGATGAGAATTTGTCAAAGAAGGAGTTGGCCCTGAAGCAAGCCCTGGATCAGATTACATCCTCATTTGGAAAGGGATCTATAATGTGGCTTGGTCGATCCGTCTCTCCTAGACAAGTCCCAGTGGTATCTACGGGTTCTTTTTCTTTGGACATGGCACTGGGAATTGGTGGATTTCCAAAGGTATCATGTGTGCTTAATCAGCTGAATGTTTAGGGTCATTATAGCAGATTATGGTCTTGGTCATATGAATGTTTTTGTGCATAAGACGCGAGGCAGATTTGACCTTATACTCAGCTCAGGAATATGTATTTGCTTCTCAGTGATATTCATTCATTTTCTGCAGGGACGTGTTGTGGAGATATACGGTGCTGAGGCTTCTGGGAAAACTACTCTGGCTCTTCATGTAATAGCCGAAGCACAGAAGCAAGGAGGTTAGACTATGGCATTTTCTTACTAAAATTTGGTGGCAAATGAACATAGTGCACTGCACATATATAACATGGTATGGCTGTTGTATGCGAAAGACGCAAGTTTTCCCTCTCTCTTTCAGTTGTTCATTATATGTAAAAATACGGTGCCTCCATACACACATCTAAAATGTATATCTAAATCATCTCCTCAGCTTCGTGGAATTAGAACAGTTGTTTGAGTCTTTGTCCTGTAAAAAGTATATCCGATGCTATCTATCACTGTGTCTCTTCCCCTGCATCTACGATACCTATGCTTTTTTTTTTCTTGCTGGTCTAGTCAAATTAGTAAATTTCTGTGATCTATTAGCTTGAAATGTTGAAGCAATGTTATACAATGGGCATGTAAGGATTGGATTTGGTGCACATTTAATGGTTATGACTGGTGTGTAAAATGTAAATTCTTCATGTTTCAATATTTACTCATGAAGAACTGATTAAGACCATCTTTTGGTGCGGGGTAATCTGTTAATGTCAATTAACTTGTAGGTTTATTCTATGTTGGTGATTTTTTATATTGGCTGTTGTCGTGATATTGAGTTCCTAGTCTGATGCAACTTATTAATGTAGGGACATGTGTTTTTGTTGACGCTGAGCATGCTCTTGATCCTACACTGGCTCAGTCTATCGGGGTAAACACTGAGAATCTACTTCTCTCACAACCTGATTCTGGTGAGCAAGCCCTCAGTCTTGTAGACACTCTAATCCGCAGTGGCTCAGTTGATGTTGTTGTTGTTGACAGTGTAAGTAAGGTGCTTTTCAGTAACATTTTGTGTTCAGTGCAATTTTTCCATGTTAGCCTTTTCCATGTTCATTGAGTACACGCCTGATGTGTTCTTATAAATTCTCTTTGGTTTTTGTTCTGTTTGAATGTTTTTCACCTTCATATCATCTCATGAGGCTTTTGTATATATTTTTTTGACAGAGTTTGTCTTTTACTTTGCACGGTAGATGAAGGGTTTTCATGTGATAACAGGTGGCCTGCACTTGTGCCTAAAGGTGAACTTGATGGCGAGATGGGTGATGCTCATATGGCAATGCAGGCTAGACTAATGAGCCAGGCACTTCGCAAATTGAGTCACTCTTTATCTCTATCACAGACAATATTAATCTTTACAAATCAGGTAATGGCATTCGATTTCATTATTATATTTGATACATTTACACAACATAAAAAACTTATCCTTTGTGAAAGTTATAAGTACAAACACTTTTACACATAATCTTATCATTTTCTGAGATTTCTGGTTTTGTATTTTTGAAGATAATTTGATATTCATCATTTCATGAATATTTGTTTGGTGCTCAGACTTCTGCAATTGTTTGTCTATCTTTAGGTGAGGGCGAAGCTTTCTACTTTTGGAGGATTTGGTGGGCCAACTGAAGTTACTTGTGGCGGCAATGCTTTGAAGTTTTATGCTTCAGTGCGCCTTAATATGAGGAGAATAGGACTTGTGAAGAAGGGAGAAGAGGTAGTTACCGACACCATTTGTCTATTTTGTTCATGAATTTGAACTTTGCTTATCTAAAAATTAGAATTGTTGTTTTTTTTTGTGTCAACTGAATTGTCGTTGAGTACCTATTTGATTAGTGTGAAAGTATCTAGGTTTCATTTAGGCTACCTTCAGTAGAATATCCAGTCATTTGATTGAAAATATTACGTGAATGGAGTAAGATGGGCTTATTTACATGTTTTTGTGTTTCTTTTGGTTGGAGGATTAAATGCTATGTTATTTATGCATCCTTTTGAAAGAAATTAAATTTCCATGCAGACTATAGGAAGTCAAGTTCAAGTGAAGATAGTGAAGAACAAACTCGCT